GGGGGGGCTGGAGCAGCTCCCCTGGGGGGCCGGGCTGAGAGAGTTGGGGGGTTCAGCCTGGAGAAGAGAAGGCTCCGGGGAGCCCTTCGAGCGGCCTCCCAGGGCTTAAAGGGGGGGCAGGAGAGGGGGGGGGGACTCTAGGTGAGGGGGTGGGGATGGGACGAGGGGGGATGGTTTTGCACCGAAAAAGGGCAGATTTAGGTGAGCTCTAAGGCAGAAATCCTTCCCTGTGCAGGGGGGGAGGCGCTGGCCCAGGGTGCCCAGAGCAGCTGTGGGTGCCCCCTCCCTGGAAGGGTTCAAGGCCAGGTTGGACGGGGCTGGGAGCCCCCTGGGCTGGGGGAAGGGGGCCCTGCCCGGGGCAGGGGGGGGCACTGGGGGGGCTTTAAGCTCCCTTCCCACCCAAACCACTCTGGGATTCTACGGAAAAAAAGACTGTCAGCAGCAAACTTGCACCTCGGGATAACAAAAGCAACTTTAACCCCCTACTACAGCTATGCTCACAGTGTGTGAAATCAAAAGCAGTCAGACACAACTCTCCTGAACACAAATCCAAAATCAATCACAACGCTCCTTAGCACAACTTGTGTTTTGAAATCATTCCAGGTTAGGGGGGTTCCTGTGGCAAACTGGGGTTCTTGCACCACGGAAGTTGAAGCCTGCGCCTGACAGGCAGGGAAGGGGAAGTGCCAGGGGACGAAGGGGCGCAGTAGCTACAGATCACAGCCTGAGGAGGGAAAGGCATGAAGAATGAGGGTGAAGTGCTCACAGGAGAAGGCAAGAACATCTTGCAGGTATCCTTCTTTGGGAAGATGTGCCCAAGAAAAGAGGAACTGCACCTGCTACTGCACTATCGTAACCAGCACCAAAATCCATTGTAAAGGAGGCGGCTAAAGGGAGGAACCCAGGGAGGGCCAGGCAGAGCCAAGAAAAGGGGAAGCATCTGCTTTCAGATTTAGAATGGGAACCCTTCTCTTCTTGTACAAGGTGAGCAGATCTTCTATGGATAGGAAGACATTTCTGATTAAAAGTAATGCTTTAGTAGCACCATTCATTCCAGACAGCAATTATGAGATTTAAAAATTTAATTTCACTATGGCGGAAAAATTAAAAGGGCTTTACTTCATCAGAGGTTTATTTACAGACTTAATTTGGACTCTGTTGGAGGTGCAAGGATTATGTTTTATAGTTTTAAGTCTAATTTCAAGATTGTATTAATTGTATAAAATAGTGATTGAGGAGCTATTTCACACAGATCACTATCTCCATGCCAAAGTGGCAGCACCAGCTTGCTGTGGCACTGGAAATGGCAGAAGCACTGCCTGTTCAATTTTCATACTGTTACAACATTTGGCTGAACTTCACCCTGTTTGCAACAAATCTGAAATGCTTAAGTAGTAACGCCTACAAATGGGGTAAAACTGGCTTTGGCTTTCTTCTCTAGTACTGCAGGGTAATACCGAATTCAAAAGAAAACATTAACATGCACCTCAGAGATACCAAATAAACTCCTCACCAGAATGCCTTTGTTTCATATACTGAACAATGTAAAGTCACAACATATAATGCATTCCTTCAATATACACGCACAGAGTTGAATTCAAATTATACAAGCTGATTGCATTTTCAATCTCTTATCTGCCACCGAAGAACTACAGTGGATACTCACAAAGAATTTTCCCTTGATCCCACAATCCAAGAACGAGTAAAATGCAAAGGGGACTCAGTTACTTCTACCAGCAGAGCACTGCAAGGCACTCACAACGTATCCATGAAGAAAATCGCTCTTTACGGTCTCCCCTCCTGCTTGCTCTAAGCCACCTGGACTTGGGACACCCCAAACTGGGGACCAGCCACGGGAGGCTGGCTCCAACTAGGTGCTGCTGGGCCCTGACTCTCATTAGCTTCAGAGGGGTGCTAACGAGCACCTGGGGCAGCTCAAAGCTCATCTGTTCAGCATTTTAGCTAAACGAGCTCACGTCTGACCAAAGAAAATTGTTTTAATGCCAGCACCCTCAAAATGCAATGTTAAAACAGTGGTAATAACGGAGGCGGGTGGAAATCCAATAATATTATACAAGTGCAAAAGTAAAATCCACCTCCCTGAATATCTACTCTCGGCAAATGGGAAGACAATGTAACATAAGAAATGCAGTGTAATGCTAGTAGAAGAAATATGTATTACAAGTTTTGCGATGATAGGAAGTACACTCCAGTTACAATAGTTACCTAGTAGCAACAGAAAGATAAACATGATAACACTCTGGAAAATAAACAAAGGCAAAGGGAGTAGGTCTGTGTGCTTTTTCTTTAGTTTTTAGGGAAGCTACTTCCAGAAGTTTTTGACCAGAGTTGTTGGATTTTAACTCTTGGTTTAGCAATACATTATCTCAGTGGAAATTGTTTAAGGAAGAAAAGAAGTCTTTATGCACGACAGTGTCGAGAAAATAGCGCCAGTTTTTCAATTTTAAATCAATCCTCACTCTTCAACTTGAGTTTATCATAAAGTATTTTTAAAAATTAATTTTTCATCTGAACGTGCCACCATTACAACTCAACCTGAGAAGCTGCTGCCCTGGCACAAGGAACTCATGCAGTAGCTGCTTCGCCAGCACCGCGCCTCGCCTCTGCACAAGTTCTGCACCAGCTTGTTATTTGTTCAGACCACGAGCAAATCAACCACAGCCAGCGCACACCGCGCACAGCGGGTGACTCCCTGGACCTCTTAAACTCTGCTCCTGGGAATTTCAAGGCGGCATTTGTGGGTTCTGCAGCTCCCTGACACTGTTACCTCAGGTTCAGCTTGTCGAGTCCTCGGTCCTTTCCCACACTGCTGCTGCATCGGTTGTTTCCACAGCCAGGCCTCAGCAAACAACCTGCATCACAGCTACATTTGGTGTTGTAATCAAGAGGCATAAAACAAAATTATTAATTATTTGGAATTTTTCTGCCTTTATCACCCTCCAGCCCTTCTCTATTCAAGTATCTATCCCACTGCCTGAATTTACGGGCGGTAATTTTAGTATTAAAGTCATATGAAACGATTTCATACATGCGCAGTTTCACCTGTACATTCATTTTAGATTCTTTTGTTTTTCCTAAATCCTGAGCATTTTCTCTAAGCTTAATGAGTGCATATTTTTTTAAAAAATGCACATTTCAGCAATAGCCACAGCACCTAAATCAATGATACCCTAATTACAATAGCTATGTGTATTAACTTTAACAATTTAATTTTACAATGGCTATATGTATCAGCTTTAACAATTATTTAGCGACTCCCTAGCTTACACACACATACAAACTGCAGTTACTTACTGCTGCCATAATATAGATGTACATTAGTTCCTTCAACTCCTCTGGGAAAAAAAAAAAAAAAAAAAAAAAAAGCAACTCTAAAAAGTATTCTAAAGGCTTCCAGCTATTCTGGCAGCCTGTATGGACAACTCTGGGACATGTCAAATCCACACGGCTGGTTTCTTTTGAGTCCTCTCCTGAGTGGTTTGCTAATCAAGCTGTCTGGTGAACGTATGGTGTCGGTGTAATCAGCACAGGAAGAAATCCACCCACTCACCCTCTGCAGAGGCTAATAATGAGAACCCAGAACAGCTGTAACTCAGCTGGGTCTGTCCAAACAAACCGCTCAACTTTGCAAGAAGTTTTTAAACAAGAGATTAGTTAACTCTTCCCTCCAGGCAAAGCTCTTACCTCCACTGTCTCCAGGATACTGTTCACATCTCTCAAACGCCTCCATCCCTCTTGTAAGTTTTGAGTACAAACTGGCAGGTTTTTTTTACAGTGAGTTCCCACAACTTTCACAAAACTACTGAGATCCGACACATGTTGCCTTCACTAAGAGGGCAGCGTGAGTTCAATCCTCTCTAGAAAATAGAGAAATCATCCAGGAATTCATTCATAAACACAAGCCCTTAGTTATCTTTTTGTGAAGCAGCAGCATATGATATGTGCCGAGTGAAGCTGCTGAGACTCAAAAAGATGCTGGAATTTAGAAGCAAGGTATGTGGTTCAAATATCATTTGCTTAATGCCTTTGTTTCCCTGAAAACGCAAATCTGAAAATTTGCTTAATATCATTAACTTTTTTTATAATATAACTGTGAAAGCCAGCTGAAAGCATCAAGGTGCTGCTTGCCTATCCACTGTAATTTCACAGAGCTGCACACATTATTCTGTCTCTTCAGCTATTACTGGACAACCAGTTGGGAAGTGAATGCTTTATTCAGCTGAGAACTCTTAATCAGAGACTCTCACCCACACCCAGTGACATTAAGCATGTACTGTTTCAGCCTGGATAGAGTCTTTAGTATTTACAGAGTTTTAAAATAATCTGTGCATTTCACACAAAATAAATTAAGCTACAATATGTGTTGCTCCTTATTAAGGGATAATGAATTGACTTGACAGGTACACTTGGTACAGTGGGAAACCAGCAGCAAAACTAGAAAGTTTCCATCAACAAATTCCAAGTTCCACCACGAGCATAGCACTACAGCAGGATGATCCCGGGGCAGGGTCACAGAGATCGTAACTTTGGAGGATCACATCATACACAAATCCTATTAGTCATCATATGGAGCTTAAGACTGCTATTAGAGACTTGTTAAGTGGCAGGAGTAGGACACCTGTACAAAATGCTTCCCATTTAGAAGCTAGCACACCTATCTGCAGTATCAAAAAAAACCAAACTAAAACAACCTCATACACTACTGCATCTGAAGGGCCACAGTCACAACTGATTTAAAAAAACCTGCAAAAATATGTCTTGGGCTCACCTCTACCTACAATTAGATAATGAGACATAAAACTTTGACACTATATATATATGACACATACCATGCAATTTTTACCTTGCTATCATAAATTAACTCCTTCCTTCCATACCAAAACCTTTTCAGTAGGGGTATATATTTTTATAAGAAGTCAGCTACATACCATATGCAAAAAAAAAAAAAAAAAAAAGCAAAACAAAACCCAAACCAACAGTTTGACATATTTTTTACCATTTTATTGAAAAACAAGAGTTACATTTTAACACTTAATTCAGTTGAAGTTACAGTGAGTTTTAAATCGGGTCAATTTTCAGCTCTCCTTTTCTGGCCTTTTCTCCCCTCTTCTCTCACCATTTCCAGCACTGGATCTGACCACATTGTGCGAAGGGGCAGAGGGACCAGGGCAGCTACTGCTGCAGGTCTGAAGCAGTCACGCACATTCTGATCTGAACTCAGACAGAGGGTAGGAGAGAGAAGACACAAACTGTGCAAAATTGATGTTTAAGACAGTCTGTTGCTCAATTCAAGCTCTATCAAACCCTGTTTACATTATCTAAATAAAAAACAAGTGTGACTTATCAAATTACTTTGAATATCTATCGTTGTCCATCATATTATCTGTAACAGTATTTTCAGAAACTTGAGTCACAAAATCTGTATTTAATTAAAATGCTGCACAGAACCCATGAAAGCACATTCGCAACATCACCCCTCGCCCACCTGAGCTTCTCCTACTTCATTCTCATTTGAGGCAGCAGAACAGGATTCCTAAAAAGGATAAAACCCCTCAGATCTTTCTACACGCCTCCTTGGAAGCGGTCAAAGGTTTCAGTGCTTGAAGAAGCCCCAACTTACACTCTGACAACATTTTTAATAACCGTCTACCTCAACATCACTACTTCGACTTGCCCTAAATAAACTAGCGGTTGCAATTCAAGGCGGGACGATTTTCTTCTCGGAACTGGACCAAGACTTACAGAGCTCCCAACGCAGGGTTTTCCCAAGGCGACCCACCCACCCAGGCCGCAGCTAGCCCGGCGGGGCTGGGGTTCAGAACGGCACCACCAGCCTACCTCAGCCGCCGTGAGGGGACTCTCGGAGCTCTGAGGAGTCTCCCGGAGCTCTGAGGGGCCTCTCGCCGCCCTGAAGGGACGCCCAGAGTTCTGAGGGGCCTCTCGCCGCCCTGAGGGGGCGCCCAGAGCTCTGAGGGGACTCTCGGAGCCTTGAAGGGACGCCCAGAGTTCTGAGGGGCCTCTCGCCGCCCTGAGGGGACGCCCAGAGTTCTGAGGGGCCTCTTGCCGCCCTGAGGGGGCGCCCAGAGCTCTGAGGGGACTCTCGCCGCCCTGAGGGGGCGCCCAGAGTTCTGAGGGGACTCTCGGAGCCTTGAAGGCCCGCCCGCGCCATGGCTGCCCGCTTCACCCTCAGGCGGCACCTACCACTGCGCTCCCAAGGCGGGGGGCGGAAAGGGGCCCGCTGCCGCCCCACTCGGCACGTACCAACCCACAGAAGCGCGAAAGGGGGGGAGGAGGACAATAAGGCTGAGCCTGCGGGCCGGCGCGTACCACTGGCCGCGGAGCCGAGGGGAGCGCGGCAGCCACCTCGCGGCCTGCTTGAACGGGCGGCGATAGGCCGTTCTGAGCGCTTCCCCCCCACGTCCTCCTCCTCCTTCAGGCGCTCCCGGCTCCTAGCGCCCCGCCCCTGGCCCACGTGAGCCCTTTCCCAGCGTCCCCTGCGCTCGGCCCCCGCCGCCGCTTCCCCCGGTGCGAGCTCCGCGGCCCCGCCGGGCCCGCGCTCCCTCCCCCCCGCCGCTGCCGGTCCCCTCTCGCCGGGAAAGCGCCTCCGCCGGGCTACCGGGAAGCAGCCTTTTCTTCTGCGGGCTTCCCCGCCTTTTTCCCCGCCCCCGGCGCGGGGCCTCTCTCCATCCGCCCGGTCCTTTTTCCGGGCGCCGCCGCGGCGGAGAAGAACTCGTCGGGGCCGGGCCAGCGGTCAGGATGTCAGGTGGGGACTCGGCGGCGGCGGCGGCCACCGCCTCCCCGCAGCCGCTCCCGTTCTCCTTGCCGAAGCCCCCTCCCCTCATGCAGCTGACGCCGGGGGACGCCGTCCGCCCCGTCGCTTCCGCCGCCGACCAATCGCCGAAGAGCACCCGGCTGGCGGGCCGCCCGGATTGGCCGGCCGGGAAGCCAGTCAGCCTGCTGGCCCCGTTGCTCCCGCCCCGCGGGGAGCCCGAGCCGCTGATGCCCTTTGGCCCCTCGTCGCGGCAGCCACTCAGAGGGCGGCTTCTTGGCAGGTGCGGCGGGGGCAGCCTCCTCAGCCCCTCGATGCGGCCCGGCGGCGTCGACCGCGGGTCCCTCATGGTGAGTAAGGGGACGGCGGCGGCGGAAAGCCCCGGGGTTGGGGCCGCTTTCCAGCCCCGCCGAGGGGTGTGAGGTTGGGGGGGGGGGGGGGAGGTTCAGGCGGCACAGAGACCCGCGGCTGGGAGGTGGCAACCGGCACCGGCTCGGCGGTGCTCTCCGAAAGGAAAAGACGACGCCGTTACCCTCGTCCTCTGAGGCTTCTGCCACCTGGGGTTGTTGGGACAGGCGAACTGGCGCTGCATCCCCTGGGAGACTTAAGGATGGGGGTGTGGGTGTCAAGTGTTACGCTCAGAAGTTTCAAACCTTTCTAGTTGTTTGTGTTTTTCTGCGAACCACCCACTCCCAGCTACGCAGTGTCTTCTGGTGCAAAAAGTTGTAGAAAAATTAGTTTTAAACACATAACAAAGAAGTGAAGTGTTGCCCTTTTTTTTTTTCTTCTGATAAGGACCCTTTTAAAGTGATATTTTCCTTAGGAATAGCTTTCATATTGATAAACTAGTGCACTTTTCTAGTGTTTTTCTCTACCTGTATATTTGAGTTATACGCTCTTCAAAGTAAAATGCTTTCCAGGGTTTATCTCAAAGTGCTCTTAGAGCTTGTGCTTCTGACTAGAATAGAAAGCTCTTAATATGTTTTGGCAATTAAAAAGTAGGAAAAAAATGTCTCTCCATTTTTGTACTAGCAGCGTGTCTGTACCAAGTATTAGAACAGCAGTAGGGTTCAGGTTTTTAGGCAAGTACGGAGACAAGGGTGGTAGTCGTTGTAGGAGCTATTTCAGACTTGGAAGTCAGGAGTAAAAGATACTTTAGTTCTCTGATAGTTGTGCCACAGGGTTAATTGTATTAATCGTAATTATATGGAAGAGCATGGAGAAATATTTCCTAAATTTAGTATGTTTTTCTGTGACAAACTGTAAGAGGAGAGATTATGGAAGTGGTGTGTTTTTTTTAATCTGGATGTTGGATCTAAATGGATTTGTTAATTATGATTAACTCTGGCTCTAGAAGACCTGGAAGAGTAAATGATCTCGTTTGCAGTATGAATCTAAAATTGCCCAAGTTATTTTCAGTTCCGCGTTGAGCGTGTCTTTGTTATTATTGCTTTTGGGGGGGGAAGTTCTCAGTTGTCGGCTTCACGCTGATTTATCTCCTTTGTTGCTGTCCTTCAGATGGGACACCCAGGCATGCCGCATTATCCTCCCATGGGAATGCACCCTATGGGTCAGAGACCACCAAATATGCCGCCCGTTCCCCACGGTATGATGCCTCAGATGATGCCGCCCATGGGAGGACCACCAATGGGGCAGGTAAGGCAGTTTTACAAGATGTTTTTTTTTTTTTTTTTCTTTCTTCCCATAATGATGTCAGGTAACCCCTGAGGTAGGTAAGTCTCATACAGCTTGCAAATGGTAAGGTTAATAATTCGAGGTATTTTATAGCACAGCTCCTATCCATGCTGAAACTCTTCTCATTTGTAACAGGTAATTGATGCACCTCGTGTAACTTTAAGTAGCCATAGGTATGAACCCATAATTTGTTTTTTATGCAAGCATTTTGGTAGTTTTCTTTATATTGTGAAGAAGTAAGGTTGTCTTACTAAGACACACCAGAAACATTAAGTAGTGGTTCTTCTCAGAGGTGGTAATGGTAGAGAACTTTGTGTTTCTTTAATTGCTACTTTAACTCTTGCATCTACACAGATGAAAATTACAGGGAGATGCAAGGGAAGAAATAATTACGATTCAAATTTTTGCAGAATTCCATCTTGAATCCTAGGGAGTGGTTTATGGTTCTGTGTATATTTTGTTGTTGCTAGTGTTGTGTGATTGAAAAATAAGTTTGGCTGTTCAGATTGACAGGTGTGGACCTGGGTTGACAGGTAGAGTAGCCAGAAGCATATCCGTGCTTTTTGCAGATTTAAAGCTTTTATTTTAAATGATGAAAATCCTTTCCTGTGTGCTTCCTCATTAGGTTCTGAGCTTCTAAAAGAAGCAGTTCTCTTTCTGGGTGTAGTAAGTGCTCTAGTGTTAATACTTGTGGTGGGGGTTTGTGTGAGTAGAAACTGAGTGTCATCAGCTAGACCAGAAGGATAGAGCAGAGCACACAGAGGGTGGCAAGAAAGATTGACCATGTGAGAAGAGCCCGTAAGGTCACACTGGCAACTCGGTGTCTTCTTTTGCAGTATCTTGGATAGAGCGTCTCTCTTTCTTCTTATTTTTAATCTGGTGTATAAAGGCTTGGTAGGAATCTCTCCAGCGTTATTTTGTAGCCTCTTAAGGGCTTCTGGTGTAAAAATAATGCAATTTTAAAAGATGAGAAGAATTTGACCATTAGCATGGTAGCTAACAGTGTGAGCTTTAGTTCATTAGAAAGTTAAATAGCAATTCCATTTTATTTTTACTTAACAGATCTCTTGTAGCTTCTGTTCCACTGTTCTCACTCTCATATACTGAATATTTCATTCTTTAGTATTTTAGTGAGCAATATAGAGAACTTGGGACTTTTGGTAGATGTCGAGCAAAAAGCTGAAGATAATAATGGCGTGTCAGAGGGGAGACCAGAGGCTCGGTTACCCTACAGCCTCGAGGACGGGACAGGATGGTGATATTCTCACACCAGAACTATTGTGCTGGAAGCGTCAGCCCGTGTTGGCTTGTTTCCTTAAATGATAAGCTCTTTCTTCCAGCAGGTATCGGAGGTTTGTTTGCGAGGCTTTGCAGGACGGCATGTTCTGTAGCTTGTTTTTCTCCTTTCTGGGGTGAGCCCCTGTAGGACAGGTACTTTGCATAGATAACAGCAGCAGCCTCCTGTTAGCGTCATTCTGAGGAAGGTCTTTTGGAAAAGAACTCGCTCTCCGTCCCCATTTTTTTTCCTTTGCTGACTTTGGGTTAGCATTATGCAGAAACCGAGCGGTGCACAGGGTTTCTTCAGGACCTGAGCCAGGGCTTTTAAGAAGTTCCACACGCTCAGAGGCCCCTTAGTTGCAAGTAGCGGTGGGGCAAGAGTGCTTTCTTCTCCTGCTTCTACAGGATGGCGAGAAATAGGAGGGGCCGCCTTCCAGTCTTTCCTTCCTCCCTCACCCTCCCAAGAAAACCTTGTGGATTTGAGGGTGGAGCAGTAGCCCTACCACATATCCCTCTCTCCGCACGAGATGCAAGATGAGGAGAGGGGTAACCTGGTGCTCCCTGAAGATAACAGGGGGATGGGGTCACTTGGCCAGCCTGCCAAGGACGATAAAGGTAAAGGGGCATAACTGAAAGGTTGAAGGGGGTTGACTTCTTGAGACTTGTTTGGGATGAGTGACCAAGAGTTCATGTTCATAATGACCTAAATTAGATACTGTGTTGATTTTGCCACTTTTTAATGGCTTTTTAGTTCTTAAAAACCAGGATCAGCAAAAATAACGGGAAACAGGTGAGGTATTAAACACTTTAAGTACCATTTTTAACATCTTTTCCGTGCATTATGTTAGTGATGAGTAACTTCTGCATAACTATCCCTTTGAGACTATAAGCATAAATATTTGAGCAGAAGCTAGCTTATTTGAGCAGCAGTTCTGTGAGGTTTTTTGATCTCATCGGACCACCCGACAAACTCGGGTGCAAGTCTAGACTCAAACGTTGCCTTTCTGTAGTGTGGTATGTCCCCACTACCAAGTTCACACTGTACATGGTTTAATACTGTATGTCTATATTCAGGTTGTTGTTTTTTTTTTTTTCCAGACCTTTAAAAAAAGAGTTTGGAATTGTTTTAGAGCTTTGATGTTTAAATGTAATAGCTTTCTTCACCTTGAAGTTGTTTGCAGAAATTCATTCTTCTAGTGTCCCTGTAAAGTGTTTCTTCCTATTTGCAGAGGTAAGAAGAAAAGGAGACAGGTTGAAAATTGTCAAAAAATGTGAGCAGAGCTAACTGTAGACTCTGAATTTGCTTTTCCGTTGTTTAGTTCTTTCTGTGTGGCCTTGGAATTTTGCAGAAATCTTTCCCAACCTTTATTTTTCTTGCTTTAACTTTCTTGCTTAGGATTTCAGTAATAGCTTATTAACAGATCACATGTCTATCATTTGCTGTTGTTCTTTTGTAATTTAAATGGTCGTCTTTTATTAATATTTCCTGTCGGACTTTGGAATACTGTAGATATGTTATTCGTAATGTCGATTTTGTAGGAATGTAATGAAGAGAATCAGAATTCTACAAAACTATTTTACTTTTTGTTGCTAAGTGCTTAAAAGGGTGATTTTGCTTTAAAAAGTAGTACCAGATAATCGCTTTTAAATAAATAAAAAAAAATCCTCATATTTGCTGTTTAAAATATATCTATTTAATTATAGATGCCTGGAATGATGCAGTCAGTAATGCCTGGAATGATGATGTCTCACATGTCTCAAGCTGCTATGCAGCCTACAGTTCCGGTGAGTTTAACTTTCCTGGTTTTTACAAGATCTTTGTGCCAGTTGCAGTTGTTACTCCAGTATGGGTTTGCCTTTGGTTTTCTTGAATTGGATCATGAAAAAGGTATTGCTAATTGCAATGACATTTTGTCTAGCTCTTGAATTGTAAAAACTGAGATTTCTGCGAGAGGTAGAGCTAGTGGTACTTGGTGTCTTGTGGATTTTTATCAGTATTTAAACTCTTCTCCATAGCTGCATCTGCTTTTGCCTTCTTTTTTTCTTTCTGGATTCTGCTTACCATAATGCTTCCCATACCCCTGGCCTCTTCCCTTGTCCCTTACCTGCTCATAGCCTGGCAGGAACCGGTGTGAACTCTGGCTGTTTGAAAAGAGGGCTAATTGTCTGACCACTATATATCTGATGTTTCATAAAAAATTCTGAAATTCAGCACATTTGAGATCTTGAGTAAAGTTTGCTGAAAAGTATGAAGAAGTTATTTGGGTGGAAATGAAGAGGGGTGAGTCTAAGAGTCTCTCTCTGAAGTGAATAAGGCTAGATTTCTTTCCTATTAACATAATCTTTTCAGAGATTTAAAGTAACTGTAGGAGATCCACTTAAAACCAGTCCTATCCACTTGAACTTAGAAATTCTTTTTTATTTTCTTAACCATGCAGCTACCATGTCCCCAAGTCTTATCCTTGTAGGACTGAATTTTTCTATCGCTTTCATTGATAATATTAAAAAATAAATTGGTTAATACTCCGCTTGTTTGTTGTTTGGTTTTGGTATTTTTTTTTCATTAAGCTCTTGCTGAGAGAGATCTTTAATTCATCTACTAAATATGCTACGTGTAGCCAAACGTACTGTGTTAAGCAGTCCATGTGCCCTCTGGAGTAAGCAGAGAAAGATCAAAGATACAGAGATTCTGCAAAATAAGTAGAGAAGGGACTGTTAGGAAAAGGATATAATGTCACCTTGACGTGTGCTACATGGCTGAGAGCTCGGACCAGAGACGGAATGTTACTTATCTTAACAGTGGAGAAAAACTTCTTGGGTTTTATCAGACACTAGAGATTTTTCCTGTTAGCTACAAGTTTGTTTCTCACCACTGGTCACTGTTTAATGAGGTGGATGTTACAGTCTTAGTGTCTTTTAAGTAAAAAGTCAGTAACTCATTAGGCAAATTCTTGGGAACCATGAGTTCTTGTGCTCATGTAGCACTTTTTAATGCACTCAATATTTTAGAAGCTACCAAGCAAAGCAGGAAGGATGTTAGTGATTTTCCTCCACTTCCCACACCGAAGTTGTTATGAACTTCTGACAAGTGATGCTCGTGGAAAATTTTGAAAGAATTTCAGACCTTCAGAAAAAAATAATCTTAAAAATGCTATGGCCAAAAGAGATTTGAAAGGGGAAGGGAGGGATCAGCGCTAAAATCAGTCTAATTTTGAATTTTACTGTATATTTATACGTATTTTGGGAAGAAGGCTGATCATTTGGTTTTCTAATACTGGATTAGAAATAAATTTTGACAGAATCAAGTCTATGGATATGTGATATTTAGGAGGCAAAGAAGCACGGCAGAGGGCTCCAGCTTTTCATTTTGCCCTTCACCCTCTTGGCAGCGATAGCAGGACCTCGTTGCACACGTGTGTGAGAAGGCGTTTGTCTGTCCTGGCAGCATTCCTGTACCTCTGCTATCGCATGTACCACATCCTGGAAAGTGTTTTAGAAATAAAAGAATGATTTTACTGCTTTACAATTTAAAATCATTTGTAGATGGGTAAAAAACTGTGACCGCCTTTGCAGCCCTGATGTTTTGCTTGGTAAAAGTCATGAGATTACTGACTTGTTGCAATTTTGGCTCTCTGATGGACGATACCTTCCCCAAGTGTAAAATGTATTCTGAAGCTTGCTGAGGGCCAGTGGATGGTTTGTACTGATGTCATTGCGCTCTGGTCTCGGTGTTTCACCCAAGTGTGGTGGTCTCTCAAGCCCCTCCTGTGCAGGTTCTCTATCTGGTGGTAATTCCTAAAAATTATTATTTCAGTCAGATGAGTTCTCTTAAAATACACAGCAAATTAGAATGGAGTTTGGAAAAGTGAGCATATGCACAAGTAAATGTGTTAGAAGGTCAACTTACTGGAGACACAGATGTAACTATGGCCCTGCTTAAGTGCAGTACTTACACTCGTAGACACATGCGCGCACACAGGGCAGCTGAAATTCTTTAATATAAAAAATGCACTTTAAAGGCCTGCGTTTTGTTTTGATTGATCGATTTGGTTTGATTCAGCTGGTTTCGTCTTACTGAATAATAACAAATGTAGTTGATCCAGTGTGATTTCTAGCAAATCTTGCTTTTTTACTCGAGGAGATTTTTGTTACTAAAGATTGTAGAAGAGAGCTGAAAGATAAACCTGCAAGCTGTATTTTTGCCTACAGAAGAAGAAAGAAATTGGGAAAACTCTATTTGAATTCTATTAATCTTTGTCTTTAGTTTGAAAGAATTTTTAAAAGGCTGTCTGTAGAGCTTTAGTTACTTGCAAGTAGTTTTATGAATGCAACACTTAACTCATTCAAAGGCTTGTGCCACAGAACTATAACAGAAGCCTACTAAGCTACTTCACCATAAATTCAGAATATCTTTTTCCTCCAACCTACTCATTTGGGGGAGATAAAGATTGGCACTGGAATGATGGCAAGAGACCCCCTGCTCTAGTTTATTGAATATATTGCTTTTCTGGAAAGTAGCTTGATATTCCTAATGGCTTATTTAAGGAGGGAGCAGTAATAATGAAATAGGCGATGGGAAGCTAGGAATCCATATTTAAGGCAGTAGAGCATTTTGTTGCTGAAAGCATTTGTTTGGATATGTACTGTATGTATTGATGATTTAATTACAGTTGCACTCGGTACTTAAGTGTCTGTTGATTGTTTCTACAGCCGGGGGTGAACAGTATGGATGCGCAAGTAGGTAAGTATAAACAATTTGCTACAGTTTCAAAATATTTCACCAAATTAGATGAAGTATTAAAAAAAATTACATACTGTAATACATTTCTGTAAAAGGTGCTTTAGCATTTTAGTAACTGACATCTTCATTGATTCCCAGATTTTTTTTTTCTTTCAGACATTGATTAATTACAGTTCTTATATAGAAAAATAAAGCAACCAAACCATTTTAAATTACTTTTTTTTTTTTTTTTAATTTTAATTTTTAGGTGTAACACCTCCTGGAACTCAGGTATGTAGAAACCAAAATTCTAGAAGATTGTAATGGCAGTGTGGTGTTGTGCATACATGGCTTTACATGCTTAAAAGAAAAACCTTGTATCTTACTTTCCTTCTCATATAAAGCTTCTTTGCTTATTTGCCTGTCAGTCTGTAACTAATGTTAGTAGTTAAAATAGGTGTATTTTCTGTTATATTTCCACTAATTTCAGAGCACTGAAGTCTATTTGTTTCTAGTTCTTCTAGTATGTAGGACAGCAATATGAGATATTTCTTGTGATGTTTTTGGGCCTTTTTGCCCTAGCTGAGCAGCAAGCGAGTTGTACCCTAGATACCTACGTTACATTCAGGCTGACTTTTCAGATTTAAATCTTTGCAAGTGTTGGGCCTAGATAGTTACTCAGGGTAGATTTGGGGTTTTATTTGCACTGAAGAGGATTGAAGTTTGTTCCTCTTTCTGTGTTTTTTGTTGGTTGTTTGGTTTTTTTTTTTGTTTTTTTTTTTAGTTCCATATCAGTGACTAGTTTATGAACAGATTTTTTTCACTTATATCTGGGTAACTTTTTGCATGTAACAGATTAATGAATATGTTGCCTTGGCAGTTCTAATGTGTATAGCAGAATTCTGTAGGCAATGATTAAATCTTCCTTGCCATTCCTTAACTCCTGCACTTAGCAGGAGAAGCCAGATCAAGGTTCTGGCATTGTTCGGTCCCATGTGATTTATTGGAACCTTTATTAGCACTGTCAGCTTACTGAGAGTTTTGTTACCAAACACTTTAGCAATAAACAGAGAATAGCCTATATAGTTACCCATAATAATTGTGAAAACATCACTGTGGTTTTTGAAAAATACAAAGTGCTAACTAACCCCAGAAGAATGGTTATCACCACTTCATCAGTTTTGCTGCTTGTTGGTTATTTAGCTTAACTCTCTTCCCCTCACCTCCGATGTCTTGACGTTGTTTGAAATTTGCTTTTGCTAGTGTCTCCTTCCAAGTTTGTGGGAACATAACATAATTCAGTAACTTAATAGGAATAAATATTGGGTAGGTTGCGTGGAAGGTGATTTAACGTAGGTTGAGCTTGTGAACAGGATGGTGGCGTGCAGGCCAAACTGGCTTCATTAGGTGATTCGCAGTAGTCTTCCACCTTTCCATCAGATGGGAAATCACTGATGGAACAGAACTGGTGCTCTATGTAATTATTACATTTTTTGAATCGTGAATCAGTGTAACGTTGTATTGAGGTAGGCAGGTCATCTGGAAGTAATCTCGAATGTCACATTTGTCCTTCATGGCACCGTGAATAACTTTCAGTCACTATCAAATTGCTCTTTAAAATTTTATAAATACTAAATTATTTCTCTATAAGATATCCCAAACATTTACCTTTTAGTTTGTAAGATGATGAAGGAAATAGTTTGGCTAGATAACTAAGAGATGGAATCTGTAAAAATAGTCATGTGGCCTCGAGGACGCCTCGTTGTAAGTTTTTGGCTGTTGCTTTGAAATTCGGGGACCTTGTGCTTAGCTTAATTATTGAATATCAGTTGTCCTTTTATTTCTGGGATTCTGCATAATTGAACGAGGCAATTAGACCTGTAGGGAAGTTGTTTCTCCTCGGCCATGTGCAGTAACTGAAACACAGTAAATGGCTAAAGCTGTACTCCGCCAGTCCTAATTTCATAGAAACTCTCTGAACTGTCGATGAAAAGCAGTAGGAAGCTACTTCGGAGTTCACACTAAACTTCTGAAGCCAGAATCTTCTTGAAACGAATTTTTCTTAGTTCTGAAAACAGGGTGTGCTTCTGGGACTTTCACTTAAAGTTGTTAGGGTCTGATCACATTCACTTTTGCTTTCTTTTCTAATGGTAATTGGCTGCCTTGGGTTGCTGAATGGGAGGGGGGGTGAGAGACTCTTAATAGCTCTTGTCACAAAGAAGTAGTGTCTTGAAAACAATACTGACTTAAATGTGTTTAGACTTTGGCTTGCTGTCTTTCCTCTGCTGCTGAATTACTCTAGTATATTTAATACATGCATTCACATGAAAAACAAATATTAACCAGAATGTCTTTTCAGAGCTCTGTTTTATTTCGCCCTCAGACAACACATCCCGTAGTTTGCGCAGCCCAGCAAACCGCCACAACCAACAGCTCTGTTAACGAAGAGCACTCTAAACAGGTTTATCTGCTTTCCACTTGTATTTAACTGTTTTAGTGGCTTTTGATAGCATCTCGGTCAATAATTATTGTTCATCATTAATGGTGTATTTTATTTTTTCTAGAAATCTACATGGACCGAACACAAATCACCTGACGGAAGAACATATTACTATAATACTGAAACAAAGCAGTCTACATGGGAGAAGCCAGATGATCTCAAAACTCCTGCTGAGGTAAACTAAAGTTCAGATGAAGATTACTGCACTGTGTGAGCATGTGTGAACACAAGAATTCACCAGTGTAACTGTCATGCAGAAGAATAGCTGTGCCATCAGAGTATTTTTTTTTTTTTTTTCCAATGGGAGCAAACTCTTCAAATAAGAAGTGTTGCAAAACTGTTTATATTGGGCTCCTTATGTTGGTAGAGCCTGAGGCTGCAAAGCTCTTGAGGACGAACCTCTTGGTAATTTTCCTTAATTTTTAGATAAATTTTACTTATTAGGAAGATGGCGTTCTTCACTATTTAGATAAGTATTGTGTTTGTTCATCGCTAGGGAGAATTTTCCTTGGAAAGTATATGCCTTGTACTCATTGATCTGTAAGTTATTTATAGGCATAGTGTTTGTGGCTCACTTCTAGCTATTCTTTTCATTCTAAAACACCGCTGTAAGCTTGATTTTATGTTTTTCTTTTCTGTGCATTAGCAATTGTTGTCTAAATGTCCTTGGAAGGAGTATAAATCTGATTCTGGAAAGCCCTATTACTATAATTCCCAAACAAAAGAATCACGCTGGGCAAAACCCAAAGAGCTGGAGGATCTCGAAGGTAATGTTAACAACGACGAGTAGGGAGGGTGGCAGCGAGTTGCAAGCATGATTTTCGGCAAAAATTTGATGTTAAAGCTTACCAGTTTTGTTAGAAATGAAACTTACTGAAATAAGCTGTGTGTAGCAGAGTTAACGCCGTGTGAGATTTCTGGGGAGCCGTCTTGTCTCCCGTGTCCTCACCACCTCATCACAGCCCCTTTTTCTGTTAGACCCTTCGTTCTCCCCGGTTTCTGCGGCGGCCGCGTGAGCTCCCCCTCGTGTCCCCGGTGGGGAGCTGGGTTAGGAGGGACCGTGCTGTGGCTTGCTCGGGGCTGGCTGCCTGCTCTCTGTGTCAGCAGCAGGTAGCGCTCGGGGCTGTTGCAGGGTTCGGCTCTGACTTAGCCACTCATCCTTTGGAAACCTGTCGGAAACTTAGCAGGGTTTGTGAAGGGGTTCGGGTTGATGGGGGGAAGATGAGAGGCAGAGGGGCGGCTGTACTGTTCCTCATTCGCTTGGGAAACCAGGGTAAAAGGGTGCTGGACTTCTGTAATACAGCATAGCTTATAATTGAGTAAGAATTACATTTTGGTTTGGTGTCTTGGAAGAATTTCGGGAACAATAATGTATTTTATACTCAAAGCAGTAGTACTGACTGTCTGCTGAAAGCCAAAATTGTGTGTAAGGCTTTGCTTTGGGTATCTGTTTGGTTTTGATTTTTGACAGAAATTAATTTGAGACGCAGCAAAAATACTGCTATTTTTTTATTGCCCTTCGGTATTACAAAGGCAGTATCACTTTTTATACAAATGTCATATGATGCTGCGATCCTGGTTTTGCTCAGTATCCATGGTTGCGCTTAGTATTGTAAGGGAAATAAAATCTTGATGAAAAATCTACAAAATCAGCTGGGTTAAGAAATGAGTGATGAAAAAAGGACAACAAAGAATAAGCATCAGTGACTGTTAGAATAAAATCGGAGGAAAGATCTGTTTCAGTAAGCCTGGCTTCCTGTTCTTTAAAACTAGTCTTTTACAGTTGGAATAATTATTTTAAACCAAGAAGTCATTCTTTATCTACCCTAATCTTTCTTTAATGGGATTTTTAAATTTTATTTTAGTCTGAATCGATTTCAGTCTTTAAGGGGCATGAATATTAGAATTATTGGTAGTAACAAAAACATTTAAAACTATGCTTTTATTAAATCATGTTAACAATAACTTCTTACCATGCGTACCTAAACTATTTTTGAGGCTATATTTTGATTGTTTGTTCCCTTTCTCCTCTAGCAATGATTAAAGCTGAAGAAAACAGGTATGTTTTTAATGGTATGCTAATGGTTTTTTTTTTTTTTTTTTGTATTAAGCTCCCTATTTCTTAAAAATGGGGTCTAGTCCTTGAATCTTAAAACATTCTCCTTGCAGCTTTTCATTCCGAACAGTGGCTTAATGTATAAAAACTCAAATACTGTATTTTAAGTTTCTTTAACCGCAGTGATTGGTCTGCACAGATGCAGGGTTTCAGTAAAGCATTTCCTTTCCCTGAGCCAAGCTTGCTTTGTGTTCTTCTGAGAAATACCCGTAACCAGGCCCAACCCTCCCATTTCCTACTTTACGAACTTATTTAAACGACGGGTTTCCCAGGCCCACTAAGTTGTCCCGTGCTTGTATGTGACCTTTGCTGTTTTTTTGTCACCCGTGACAGCACAAAGCCCGAAGACTCGGCTCCGGCGGCGGCCGCTCCGGCTGCTGCAGCAGAAGCAACGAGCGCCGCCGCCGCCGCCACCGACACGGCCGCGGCCGTAACTACCGCCGCCGCCGCTTCCGCCGCGGCCGCCCCCGAAGCAGAAACTGCTGCAGCCTCTGTGGCAGAAAACGAGAGCGCCGGCACGGCCGCGGCCGAGGACCAGGGACAAGCAGCTTCTGCGCCCGCTGTGCAGGAACAGAGCGGGGAGAGTGCAGCCAGCGCAGCCGACGACTCTTCCAAGCAGGAGGCCTCAGCAGAGTGAGTGAAATCGCAAAGGGCGCGTGGCTCTGCTGCGGCTCTGGGTTTCAGCTGCGATCCGGCTTATCTTCAATTGTAGGTGGCCAGGCTTCTTTGACAGGTAGCTGTTTCTTCAGTGAAACGTGAGCTTGAATCAAGGGCAGCAGCGAAGAATAATAAGTAAGAAAGAGGGGAAGAAGTTTTAAATCTGTTTATGGAAAACTAACACCCTCCCCTTGCCACCCCTCTCCCGAAGCTCTTAAACCCTACAGAGAAGCATCAACATTTCATAATTTTTCCGTAGCTGTACCAGTTTCCTGGGGTAGCGTTGTGTGCTTTACCCTGTATGTTTCCTGTCCCGCAGATCCGTGCAGTTGGCTGTCACCTGGAGAAAATGCAATACTAGATAGATCTTTGTTTGTTCCACCAGAAAGGAGATCCTTTGTTTTTTAAAAATGGAGAATTGATTATGTAGAGAATTATAACTCATGATTGTTATCATTCAAACCAAAAGGAAACACGCTGTGGGGGATTATAGCCAGCAGGAGATAATGAAGGGCAAAAGGCATAGTTTTAAGCACTCCCCCTTGTATTTTTATATAATACATATCTAAACATTCCTGCTAAATTTTAGCAGTATATTTGTATCTTTATATAATACATATCTAAACATTCCTGCTAAATTTTAGCATTAAATTTTTATGAATAATTTCTAGATAACGAGAGCAGGTAGCCAACTGCATAAGTGATAATACTTTTCTGAAAGCTTGCTTTTTTTTGATCAGCTGTGTATGGTGTCTGTAAGGAAGAGTCTTGTGCAAATTGTGGTGTTTATCAAGTGTAGCATTGTTTTTCCTGGAGTTGCTACTTAAAAAACCTCATTCTATCTGATTATGGTGGTTTATGACTCTTCAGTGACTAACTTAGGGAGAACGAGGCTTAAATAATAAAATTATTGATTTCTGTATATAGTGGTGCTGCAAAGAAGGAGGACGATGATGCCCAACCAGTTAAAAAAACCTATACATGGAATACAAAGGAAGAAGCAAAGCAAGCATTTAAAGAACTGTTAAAGGAAAAGGTATTTCAGTCAACTATCTTAATACTTCATTGAACTACAAAAACTGCATTTGCCAGAAATTGCTGGATTTTTTTTTTTTTTTTTTTTTTGTGAAGAATTTCTCACTGTTGTAGAAGAGGACTTCAGTAGTAAAAATGAAATTGGGGAAAAGAACAGTACAACGAAAACAATACAAAGCTTAAACTTTTTTTCAGCTCTTTGGGTGAGTGGAGAGGTGTTGAGTTTTCATCAGGGCTCTCAGTTTTTTCTAGTTTTCTTCCTTTTCCACGATCCCCACGCTAACGCAAATGTGTAGTCTGGTCTTTGTCCAAAATTCAAACTGGGATGGGGAGTGATTTGGGGGTCAGATTCAGTAGATGCTTCGGAGACAGACAATGTAAAGGTCCATGTGGAAAAAGGACAACCTGTTAGATTTAGTATGCAGTGTTTCCATAAACTACTGTGGTTTAAAAACACATTTTTTTTTTTCCCCTGTGAATTAGTAAGTCTAAAACTGTATTTAAGTGTTGTGGAAATTATGGTTGTCTGTATTTTTATCTGTCAGTGAGGTACATTTCTAATAAAAGTGTTACTTGATCATCTGAGCCCTTGATTTTTTAAATTGTTTTAAAGATGGAGATGAAGTGGGAGTAGAATGAGACTGGCTTTGGTTTTCCCTCAGAGTATATGAGATCTGTTCGGGTTTTGTCTAGTGAGTCAACATAGTTGTATAGTAGACAAACTTCCAGAATAATTTATTGTGGAAACGGCAGTAATCCCAAAAGGAGCTTGTTTTGTTTTCCATGTTGACTCTTAATAAAATTTTTTAAAAATTTGTGTCAAAGAACGTTGTCTCAACCTCAAAAGTGTAGTGCTTTTTTTCCAAAGGGCTATTTTTAAAGGAATCTGTCGTTGTTGGATGTTGGTTCCATATCTAATTAGTTACTGATTTAATGTCTTCACAGCGAGTACCATCCAATGCTTCTTGGGAGCAAGCTATGAAAATGATCATTAATGATCCCAGATACAGGTACTGCTTGATTCTTTCCTCATTGTTTTTATAGATATTTGTGCATTTGTGAATGTGTACCATTGTCAGGGATCTTTGTTCCTTTGCTACATGAAGAAATGCCAGTCCTAGGCTTAATTTTTCATTTGGAAAATGTGTGGCAGTTGTTGGTTGTATTTTGTACTCTTCAAATGATTTTCTTGGGAATTAAAGCACGCGTTTACAGTGACAGAGCTGAAGACTTCCTAGGTTACTTTTTTTAATGGGTGGCTGCTATAAACATTGGCAGAAAAGTGGTTGTGATATCCATGATAAAAATAGTATTGTAATGTGAAATGTGTAAATGCAACCCAAAAGCATGATAGTGGTTTGTGTTTATTATTTACTGCTTTTAGTAAGTGCTTGGGTTGTTCTTTTTGTTTTTTTGTTTTTTTTGTTTTTTTTTTTTTAAATTTCCATAATCCTGAGAGAGTGAGTGAGTGATGGCTGGCTGTTTAGATTACATTTAATTTTGTCTCAAAAATCTGGATTATTCAAATCTGTTATCTTTTGGCTCTTTGGTTTTGTTTTTCTAATGTAATTCTCTTTTGTATAATTGATGTTGTTTTCTTTTTCTTGGATGTGAAGTGCTTTGGCAAAATTAAGTGAAAAAAAGCAAGCCTTTAATGCTTACAAAGTTCAGACAGAAAAAGAAGAGAAAGAAGAAGCAAGATCAAAATACAAAGAAGCTAAAGAGTCCTTCCAGCGTTTTCTTGAAAACCATGAAAAGATGACATCCACAACAAGATACAAGTAAGACCCATCTTAAGTGCAGTTCCAGCCTTCACTAGCTCGCCAAGTTAATAGTCACATCTCACTGGCTTGCTCTTGGTGAATGCTAACCTTTGTGTGCGCTCAGCCTGTAGCTAAAATTTTTATAGAAACACAAATATTTTCATTTTCTTAGACGCAGGCAAAAGAACCAGCTCAGTGGTGATGTTAATGGGTTGGGCTTCCGATAAGCAGAAATACAAGATAATGCTGAGAGGAGTTTCCTATCACATCTCCCATTAAGAACAAAATAGGTCTGGTAGCTTATTCATGGCAGTTCACGCCCAAGGGGAGGTACATCTGACAAGCTTGTTGAAAATTTATAGCTCTGATTTCATACAGTGTTTGATAGAACAGTGACCTGAACGTGTGCTAGCCCTCAGCTAAAAATACTGTGTAATGCACTGCAGGTGAACTTGCACCTCTGTGGAGAGGAGTGTATAGTGGCATCAGCTTTATTTTTTAACCGTTTGTTTATAAGAGATAGAAAGGTGTTGCAGAAAAAGTTGCCCAAGAGGGAAAATTAGGGAGATGTCATACAAAAGCGTTGCTACTTATAAAGTGTTCATTTAATGTTATGGTAAGCCAGTGGGACAATTTTAAGTCGGTGTTCACCAATAAATGATTGTATGCTTTTTCTTTGTTTGTACAGAAAAGCTGAACAAATGTTTGGGGAGATGGAAGTCTGGAATGCAATATCTGAGCGTGATCGTCTTGAAATTTATGAAGATGTCTTGTTCTTTCTGTCTAAGAAAGAGAAGGTAACTTTCTTTCAAACCTCTTTTTTCACCTGTTACCTGTAAATCAGGGACAGTCAAAACTCGAACAGACGGGCAGGGATCTGCAGGAAAGGCGTGGAGAACCAAATGAAAGTGTTGCTGCGTTACTGTGAACCACATACTGCTTGTAGAGGGGACAAAGAAAAAAGGATTGGTGGAACTCTTCAAAACCCACGGCTGGTTTTGTAGAGGTTAATTTATTTCTCATTATACAGTACATAAATTTATGCATCATTGCAGAGTACATAAGGGGTATTCAATAGTCGGCCAGCAGAAGGTGGTGAATCTTACCTAAACAAATTCTTGGAAATTCTGTTCCTGGACAGAATGCAACTGAAGTTGTGGAACTGTCTGCTGCAGGGTAGCATTTTTGAGACAAAATTTTCCTGAAGAGGTACCTGTCTGAAGCTGGGCAGACACAAGAGGAGGTGATCACTCTTGTTAGCTTGCCTGGTTCATTGCAGTCTGCTGGTGGACAAGATGAACCCCTGATTTGACCCTGTATGGCAGATCCAGTAGCAGTTTCTTTGAAAGGTCTTAAAAAATGTATTTTCTCCTCAGGAACAAGCCAAACAGTTACGAAAGAGGAACTGGGAGGCTTTGAAGAACATACTAGATAACATGGCTAATGTCACTTACTGTACTACTTGGTCGGAGGCTCAGCAGTATCTGATGGACAACCCTACATTTGCAGAAGATGAAGAACTTCAGAGTATGTAAAAAGTCTGTGCATTTGTTTGGGAAGAGGGGAGGGTTTGTGTTCAGCAGAGGGCACTCCTGGCTGGCTCTGGCCTGCTCTTGCCCCATCCAGAGCCGCGGTGGCAGCACCTGTATGAAGGACCCTGCCTTGTTCAGTTCCTAGGAAACGATGTCAGCTTCAAAAACCCTTCCTGATTAATCTTAGTGATAAAGCAAAGGATACCCTTTCTGTGGGGATTGAATTGCCTTAGTAGTTTTTAGCCTCTGATATCTGAAGACTTGTTTGACAATGTAATCTGTGTTGCAAATACTTACACTACCTTCTGCCAGACTGAGCGAGGTCCTGCTATGTTTGTTTTCCTAGGAGTAGTAATTGGGTTTTTTCTTCTAGAGTAAGCAGGCAGTTTTTCCATTTTGAGCACGTTTTTCTTATAAACGAGCTGATCCTCTGTTTTAAGAGCAGCATATGCATTTACACAGCAGCTGCAGCGTTTGACAAAGATGCTCTGTGTTCTTACCTCTGTCCTGGGTGTTTAAGATACCTGTGGTAACGTGGGGAGATGCACAAGTCCTCATCCACACTCCTCCCAAAAAGACTTCTGTGCTCTGTAGTGCCAACTGGTAATTTATCCAGGCTGGGGGAGGTTGGGTTTTGCTGCTGTGCAGCCCTTCATATATTTCAGCATTTAACGAAGCTTCCGCTGACAGTAACAATCGGCAACCGTTACCTCATGCTAAGAAACTTTCTACAGTTAGTGGGAAGAAATACCTAATTTTTACTCTTATCACTCTATTACCTGTTGCTAGACATGGATAAGGAGGATGCGCTGATCTGCTTTGAGGAACATATCAGGGCACTGGAAAAAGAGGAGGAAGAAGAAAAACAGAAAAGCTTGCTTAGAGAAAGAAGGCGGCAGCGTAAAAACAGAGAATCTTTTCAGGTTGGTGGGCTTCCTTTTTCTGTCCTAGACGTGTCATGTGATTAGGTGTTCTATGCAGGTTTTTTTTAATTTCTTAGGGTAGACCAGTGGGCTTGTAGAATGCATCAGTTCCCAGCGCTGTAGCATTTGGTTTGCTGTGTAATACATCTGTTTGCCAGAAAGCTGCAAGAGTAGGGGAAAGTAAGAGGAAATGGATTTGAATGGAAAGGAAATGCGACTGGAACTTTGTAGATGGTGGAGGAAGGCGGGAAGAAATGACGGTGTAAAAAATGACTTTCCAATCGCATGTTAACAAAACTGGAATTACCGAGAGCATCCATTCCGGCTGTTAGCCGAGTGAAAGTATGATGAGTGACTACAAATCTCCATTTCACTTGTGTTTTATAGCTATTTTTAGATGAACTGCACGAGCATGGGCAATTACATTCAATGTCCTCTTGGATGGAGTTGTACCCAACCATAAGCTCCGACATCAGATTCACTAATATGCTTGGTCAACCTGGTAAGAACACTGTCTCTTCCAACCCTGTAGAAAGTAAGGTTAAAGGTCTGGGATTTGGGGCAGAGTAGAGCAGGGTTATTTGTATATTTTCTAAGTGTCTAAAAAAATGCAGCTCTTTTATTAGAGCTAGCTTTTGACTTATCTAGTTTTTTCATCAGGATCAACAGCCCTTGATCTTTTCAAGTTCTATGTTGAAGACTTGAAAGCACGTTACCATGATGAAAAGAAGATAATAAAAGATATCTTAAAGGTAAGAGGGGGGAAATTGCTCCATTATGTGGTTTCTTTTAATGCCAAAGATATTGTTCCACTGAACTCTTTGCTACTGGGAGCTGGCATTTCGCATTGCATTAATGTCATGTGCATTGGCACTGAAGTGAGCGCTCCTGACCCACCTGATGCCAAAGAAGCAATTCTCTTATAGGATAAAGGATTTGTCGTCGAAGTGAACACTTCTTTTGAAGATTTTGTTACGGTCATCAGCTCCACTAAAAGAGCTACTACATTAGATGCAGGAAATATCAAGCTGGCTTTCAACAGTGTAAGTATTAATACATACGAATGTTGAGAAATTATCATATGAAATCTCGTGTTAAAAACAAGGATTGGCACTTATTTTCACTCTGTTGCTATGACTACTTTCATAATATTTGAGAGATGTGCTCTAGAGTTTCTTACCCTGATATCAGTTCCCAAAATAAAGACTGCAGAGGTGTATCTTGATTGAAACCCTAAACATTCCAACTGGAGAAATTCTGTGGTAGGAATTAAGTGTTGTCTCATTTATATGTAACTTTTCTCATGAGAGATTTGTGTGTGTGTTTCTGTAGTTCTGGCTTGCATGATGTATTAACTCTGGTTTAGATTTTTTTGTGAAACAGCAGTTACATGCTTTAAAAATAATTTAAGTTTAAAAATAATTAATTGGTTCATTTTCTTGCAAGCCCAAGTGATTAGTAGATCCAAAGTTGAACTGTTGTTGGGATTTCCAAAAATCGCTTTAAACTGAATTACTGGTCTTCCATTTTGATCTCGTTCAAATGATCTCGAGGCTTTTGTTTGCTACAGCTGCTAGAAAAGGCAGAAGCCCGTGAAAGAGAGAGGGAAAAAGAAGAAGCTCGTAAAATGAAGCGGAAAGAGTCTGCCTTCAAGAGCATGTTGAAGCAAGCGACTCCTCCAATCGAACTGGACGCTGTCTGGGAAGATGTATGTGTTGTCACTTAATTATGAAAGTCTCCCCAAATCCGTTCAACAGCCTGCTGCATGCTAGTGCTTTTATAAGTAAACTTAGCTTCTCGAAACTCTTAGTGTTTCTGTCAATACAGCTTAGACCCAGCAAAATTGTCCTGTCGTTTTTTGAGTAAAATTTGAAATTTGATGTAACTTCATTCTATTGATTTGATACATATATATATATATTTTTTTTAATACAATTTGAAGCAAAACCAAAAAAACCCTGAACCCAAAGAAGCAAACAGCACGCACCACCACCCACACAAAAACCTAATCAGACAAAGCCCCCAACCTTAATTCAAATGGCGATAAAGCGCTCTGCTGAGTTAAAAGCCCATGACTCTTCTGGTTAAGATAACCTTTAAAAACCTTTCATCTCGAAGTATACTATGAATAAAAATGCGTGCTTTAACAAGCTTGCGTGGCTTAAATGGCATATGCAGGAAAGAACCAGTCTGGTTCTGCATGCCTCCATCTGTTACCGTTTTACTGAAGACTCTTTTTTGATTGTGAAGCTGGTATAAAAAAAAAAAAGTTGAGCCTTGGAGCAGTGCAGTGGCTTTTGCAATCGGTGAAACCGCCTCTTGTCTTTTTTGTTCTTAGTTTAATATCTGGGTGGCTGTACTTCCCAGTCCTCTCTCATTGCTATTTTTCCTCCAGATCAGAGATAGATTTGTGAAGGAACCAGCCTTTGAAGACATCACCCTGGAGTCTGAAAGAAAAAGAATATTTAAAGATTTCATGCATGTACTAGAGGTGATTATTACTTTATTTCTTCCTGATGAGAGGATGTGCAGTCTAGCTTAAGCGATTGGCTCTTAACTTGTGTGGGAAGGGAGAAGGATTTAACAGAATTTTACTCATTTCTGTTACAGTGGACATTGTGTGTTACCTAAAAGTAATGGCTATTAAAACCTCACCTTCAAAGTAAGGAACTGAAGAAACACGTTGCAGTTGTTTGATATTATTCGGTATATAGTCGCTGCTTCCCTACAAGAATTGTCAGAAGTTAACATCAGCATTTCCTGGTTTATTTTAGAAAAATTGTTTATTGCTGTGATTTCCTACAAAATGTGATGAAATTGGAGAGAGAACTTCTGCGGTATTTTATTCACTACAAATCGGGAACTTCAAGAACATACTAAGCTCTGCTGTTGTACATTTTTTTTTTTTTTTTTTTACTTTAGCCAATTTTTGGCTCATATGAAAGAGGGTTAATGTAGTTTAGCTTCATTCTTAAGTTTTGGATGGGCCACAGTAAGAGTTAAGCTGTAGAAGTTTTGACAAGTCATTCTTGTTGAATAAGGTGCTGGTTTTTCTCCCTAGGTAGTGTGAGATTTGATTTTGTAGCGCGTGCTCTTTGGGGTTTTTGCTTCGTTTTCAGGGGTTCGTAAGAGATATTTTTGAATGGCTTCATTTCAGAACTGGAAATACGGTAAAGCAAGGTGTGCAGTGTGTTTTAGGCCATCTTGAGCAGGGCTTTAACTGGAAGCGTTGAAGCAGGGGTCCGGGTGGTAGAAGCTGTGTGCATCCACCCCTAAGGCTGTATACTCCTTGCTTCGAAACGTTTCTCAGTGCAGCTTTAACAAGGCACTGCTGGCAGCTGCTCACGGGTTTTGACACAACAAACGTGTGATTATTTCTTTGTTTATAACCACTGCCAGCCCTAGGTGTCTTTGTGGCTGAGGAGAAACATCGTTACGGTTTCTTGCTGCGTCCTGTAGACCGATGATAACATTTGCCTCCTCTTGTACTCTAGCACGAGTGCCAGCACCATCATTCGAAGAACAAGAAGCATTCTAAAAAGTCTAAAAAACATCACAGGAAGCGGTCTCGTTCCCGTTCGGTAAGGGTGTTTCACAGGGTCACAAAAGTCCTCCTTCTGTGCCTGTTCGTAGCGCTGTCGCCTTGCAAATCACGTTGGTTTTGTACCCCAAGGGCTCGGAGTCCGAGGATGATGACAGCCACTCCAAGAAGAAGAGGCAGCGTTCGGAATCTCGATCCGTTTCTGAGCGTTCTTCCAGTGCAGAATCTGGTATGAGGTTTTTTTCTGGTTTGGTTTTAAATTAGTGTTGCTGTTTTATGGCTGGGTCTGTATAGTTTTGTTGATGTGTTTTTGTTCCTTCCTATGCAGAGAGAAGTTACAAGAAGTCAAAAAAACACAAGAAAAAGAGCAAGAAGAGGAGACACAAGTCTGTGAGTGCAGTTAACTTTTTTTTTTTTTTTTTTTTTTTTTTTTTTGAGTTGGCTAATGGGCAGCTTGACACCTTCTGGTTTCAGTAAAGGCCTTTTAGGTATCTCTTTGTGATAGGGACTGTGTGAGGTCAGGCTGGAGCAGGAGGGTATTGGCAACAGAATAACCTCCTGTTATATATTCATGTTATATCTAGATCTATCTTAATGTTAAACAATATATAGATGTATATTTCTTAATGTTAAGCCATTTAAGGCTGCTACACTCAGGGGTTGAACCACAGTGGAGCAGGCAGGCGTGGAGGGCTGTCCTGGCAGCCTGGTATTTGCTGTTTGTGGTGGCAAATCTGGGCGTTGCCTTTCACCACAGGAGGCTGGGAAGCAGCCCAGCCACCTCCTCCTTTTGCCTTCCACCGAGCCTCACTCCTTTCGCCCGCCCGAGTGCTGGGGCTGTGTTAGAAGCTCCAGTATGGAACGTACTGCAGCATCAAAAGGGACCTAAAGAGCAGAGGGGGGGGAGAGCTTTCGCTCTACATCAGTTTAAGACCAAAGAATATTTGTTTGTCCTGGGTAAAGAAAGAGGCTTGGGTCTCTGAAGTCCTGCTGGCTGCACAACCCTTCAATTTACTGCACGGCACCCAGCACGCCCCGTCTTCGCACACGCTGAAAATGCTGAAAGTTCTCCTCTATTGACCAAACCTCTCTTCTTTTCAAATCACTTCAGCAATGTTTTTGCATTGCTCATTTTTGCTAAGAGGATGTGCTTCATTAGTAACCACTTGAAGCGGTTTTGCTAATATGGTCTATGTTGAAATGAAGTCACACTTTTCCGAGGTGCTGGTTATTCTACAAATTAATATTTTTCCCCTTTATTTGCGCAGGATTCACCGGAGTCGGATATTGAACGAGAAAAAGACAAAAAAGAAAGAGAGAGAGAGAGCGAAAAGGATAGAGCTAGACAAAGATCTGAATCAAAACATAAATCTCCTACTAAAAAACGACCTGGAAAAGATTCTGTAAGCATGCTCGTTTCCTCTTTATCTGATGCTTTGGGCTTTAGGTGTCAGCGGGACGCTGCAGCGTGGCGTGCAAGCTTTACAGGCCTACTGGAGTAAGGTGCTAAAGCTTCATTTACGTTCCAATTCCATTTATACATATAGAAAGGACCAAATGTTCAAGCCAGACCTTAATCATACGGGTCCTACACCCTCATTCGGTGTTTTGTTACCGACGTGTGCAATCACTGTTGGATGAGATGCTCTTCGTTGCTGCTAGTGGCCGTAAAGCTGACTGAGGCCCGTTAGAGACAGCCCCGAAGCTTGGGCCGTACTGTGCCAGAGCAATATTTGTCACTAAGCTGCCATTCTTTTTTCCATCCAAGTGGCCAGACTGATCTCAGGGGACGAGCAGCGCAGCTGGTTAAACGTTTGAGTCTCTGCGGCACCTGTGCTCTAGGATTTTTAGCAGTCGCGGTGCTGGGCTGGCGCTGGAAGCAAAACTTAGTGGGAGGAAGTGCTGCAGTTTGTGCCCTTTTCCAGCTGGGCAGGGCCCGGGGGGAGCCGTTGCAGCCCTGCTGCTTGTCGGTGCCACTGGCTCTGGAGGGGGCTCGGAGCCCCCCTTTTCGAGGACGCAGAGACCTGTTTGAATGAAAAATACCAACTTCTTTCGGCTCAGCACCTTTTGGGGTCTCCTCAGGGAGGGGAATTATATTTCATAGGAATTTCACAGAGTGGTTTGGGTGGGGGAGGGAGCTGAAAGCCCCCCCAGTGGCACCCCCCGCCCCGGGCAGGGCCCCTTTCCCCCAGCCCCATCTGACCCAGTCTTGAACTTTTGGGAGGTGGTGGCATCCTGGATATCACGAGCTCCACCTTCCCTGAGGAGGTGGGAGGGCAGCCGCCCGCCTTTGGTAGCCATCTGAAAAGAAGCTGCTTTGGCCCTCCAGGTGCCTTTTGAAAAACCCAATTCCACGGCCTGGGGCACCTTATCCCCCCGGGCTGTTGCCCCCTCTCCCCCTCCCCGCGCTCGGGGGGCTCCTGCTCACCCTCCTTCTCTCTGCAGGGGAACTGGGACACGTCTGGCAGCGAACTGAGCGAAGGGGAGTTGGAAAAACAGAGGAGGACACTTTTGGAACAACTGGATGAAGATCAATGAGAACATTATTTATACCAAATATGTTTACATTGTGGCATAATAAAAGAAACCAATGTCTAATTCAGGACGTGGGTTCTGATATCCCAAGTTCCACTGTTGCGCTGACAGTGGGCGTGTTCATTTTCCCCACATCAGTCCATTCAGATTACTTTTATTACATCGAATCTAGAAAAGCAAATGAAATTCTGAGTGCAAGGGCCCCAGGGGCCGTCCTGGGCAGGCTGGGGGCTGGGTGCTGGAGCGGCGTCGCAGGCCGGGGGAAGTGTTGGCACCTTTCTAGCAAAGCGTCGCTGCAGCGCCGCCCTTCCTAGAAAGGCAAGAACGCTGCTCTTCCCGCCCAGGGTAGGCAGGTAAAATTTAATTTTTAGAAAGAGATTCTTAATATAGTTTCTTGCGGTTTAATTTCTTTTACGGATTTGTTTTTATTTTGGAAAGTGGGGAAGGGGGGGGGGCGGGAAGGCAAGGGAAAGGGGAGTCACGAATCCATTTCTTGATCTGTACTGCTAAAACAATATCAGATATTGGGACCTGCTCTGTTGTGAACTGCCTCGCTGGCCAAACCCGCGCTGAGCTTTTGTACAAAGACTCGAGTTCCTGGCTGGAGGTAAATTGAAGGTAAATTTTCCAAGGCCTGGGCGAGGCGAGCTGTGTCCCGGCCGCCGCTCGCCTTCCCCTCGCCCCCCCCCCCCCGCCCGTTACCCCAGCGGTTTGCCTTCCGCGCTAAGAAAAGATGACAAAATCAAATTGTAACTGAATTTCGATGTGTTGCCTTAAGAACCTGCTGAGGGAATGTACCACCCCGTCTCAGCGGCCGCCTCCAGCCCGTCCCCCGCGGGGGGAGGCGGCGGCTTTGGCCCCTGGTTTGCGGGTGGAGGGAAGGTTTCGCCAGCCCCGCGCGCTGAGCGGCCGCCGCTGCTGTGGGACGCACTCGCAAACCTCTGATGGGAATATTTTTGTATATTTTTATCAATTATTAAACCTTGTCTTCTGGTGTGTTACTAGTGTTTATTTCTAGTTTTAAAATATTCTGTCCAGCCCTGATAAATTGCTGCTCACGAAAAGGATCGGAGGCCGCCAGGCAGAGCTCCGCTTCCTCGGCGCGGCGTTTTCTTGCCTCCGCCAGCCCCAACCACCCCCCAGAGGCCCGATTCCCGCAGCCTCCTTTCTTGCTAGGGTGGCAATTCTCAAGAACAGTAGAGATTGAAATCAGTCATTTAAAAGAGAAAATGCTGGTGAAAAACGCGACTTAGGGAACTGCTGGATGGGGCGCAGCTGCGGCTCGCTCGGCAGAGGCTGCGGGGCAGAGGGGGGAGGAAAAAACACCCGAGTTTGGTCAAACAGGACTTTTTGTGCCCAGGGGTTAGTGACAAAATCTGGGCGGGTGCTGATGGCAGCGGGGACGGACGGACGGACGGACGGGCCGGGGCTGCCCCCACCGCTCACCAGGCAGCCCAGAGTTTTTGAGGGGGCTCGGCGCTTCCACTGATTTCTAGTTTAAGATGGAAACGCAGGCGGCGATGCCCGAGTGGCCACGGCCCGACAAAGGTTTCCGAGAAGCTCAAGTGAACCGTTAACTCCCGGCTCAGGGGGGACTGACCCGGAGGTGGAGCTGGGGCGGGGGGAGGCGGCGGGTGCTGAGCTGCTTTAGACTTTGCCAAACACCTTAGAGCGCGTGGGCACTATTTTGTTACTGCCTTGCATAACCTGCATGAGGAAAAAGTGTTTCTAAAGATTACTTTTGAAAGGTTGGCCTTTAGTTTTCCATTAAAAATAAAAAAAAAAAAAACACCCGTACATTATTCTAACAGGTTTTTTTGGTATGTCTTTTAATTAGCTCTTGCACAAGGAATACATCTTAAAAGGAGTCTGCTTTCAAACCAGTCCAGGCAAGGCACAATTTAGTTTTTAAGGGAAATGAGTTCAGGCTTTTTTGCGGGTTTGGTTGGTTGGTTTGTTTGTTTGTTTTCCTCTTTTGCAGCTTCATCTCAGGGGCCCCGTGGCGTGGCCCAGCCCCGCTCACCGGCCTGGCCAGCACAGCGAAGCTCCAAGCTCAACCTCTGGAGTTCTGCCTCGAAACTGGAAGGAATTTGAGCAAGATCGGGCCTTTTTATGTGTTAATGGCTCAGTCTGACTGTACTTGATTTGCTCCTGCAGAGCTCCCTCTCCCCTCTGTGCGGGTTTAGTTCCAACCCCCCCCCCCGCCCGCCACTGCCTGGTCCTGGGTGTCTGCCCCCCCCTCACTGTATTTAGTTTGTTAAACCCTTCTAAAAAATTAAACCTGAATTTTTGCCTGAAGGATGACGTTGTTCTCTTTAAGACTCAAAGATCTGTACTGGGGGGGGGGGGGGGGGTGTTGGGGTATTATTTATTGCAAACTCCTCCGTGCCCCTCAGGCGCGGGGCTGGCACCCGGAGCAGCAGGAGGGAGCCGGGGTTTGTCCCCGCGGGTTCTCGCTCACGAATTATTTCGCAGAGTCCTCGGGTGGTGGAGAGCAGGAATTCACTGCACGGGCAGCTCCGGCCCCCGGGGGGGTGTGAAGGGGCTGTGGCAGGTCCCTTCCAGCCCTTCCCCACCTCCAACAGCCCCGAAGAGTCACACTTGGGTGGGGGGGAAAAAAAAAACAAAAAAAAACAAAAAAACAAACAAACAAAAAAACAACCACCAGGGTGTCCTTAGAGTAACTGAGAGACCAGAGGTACAAAAGCCAAACGGTGAGTGGTTTTAAAAAAAAAAAAACCAAAACTCAAACCAAACCAGCAGCCAAAGGCTCCTGCAAGCTTCACCTGCAAAACACGGCCCTTGGTGGGAAAAACCCCAGTGACAAAAACCCCCCCGGATTACTGTGTAGTAGTGTAAATAGTTTATTTGATCTTATGCCAGGAACAGACCAGGAAAGTAACATGAACTGCTTTTATAAAACACTTCTAATATTGCTAAGAAGCAGGTCTATTACTAGAAAAATATTAAAGAGAACATGCCAGCATTATATTCGAGTTGTACGATAATTGTTGTCTTCCATTAAAAAAATACCTTTGAGCTGAAGAGCGTGAGAGCTGGTGCTTTTAGCCGTTTGCCTAACAATTTACTGGCTTAATTGGCAAATTTCGTAACGCAGATTAAAATCCTCTTCTGTCACTGTCAGTGGAGAAGGAGGCGGTCTGGCATGTTCTCTTTAGCATGTCAAGTACACGTCGCTGTAAATGCAAGAAGGTGGCAGTTTTTAAAGTAAACTTCCTGTAAATAGGCAAGCAGAGGTCAATGTGGTAACTTTGAGCCCCAAACTGTCCATTTAGTTAAATATAAAAACAAAAACTATAAGTTAAAATAACATTCAGATTGTATAGCACAGGCTGATGCTTTTTTTTTTTTTTTCCTTTTTAAACAATATTTACAATATTACCCAGAGGCTAAAGGGGGGAATAAAAGAGAAGTGTAAAAACCATAAAAAACTGCACCAATTTTGTAGCAAAATATCTGTACATTTAAAAACAGATTATCATATAACTACACATTATCCAAGGAAAAAAAAAAAAAAAAAATGGGACCTTCACCAGTGGTTCACATAAGCACAACATAAAAGAAAAAGGAATTCAGTGGTTAAATACTATACAATAAATTTTACAATTAACATATGGATGCAATGAGACCAGGAAAGGGAAGCTGTAAGCAAAACGTATCTTGGAAAGTACAAATGGTTCCTCTTCAGTGCAGTTCTTCGCTTCGGGGCGGGTGGCGTACCCTGCCGGCGCGGCGCGGGGGGGTCACGTCCCTTTTTTAAGCTTTTCAAAACCCGATGCAGAACCCCTGACCCGCCGGGATCCCTCCCCTCGCTGCCCCCGTGAGCCTCGGCGGGGAGGGGGACCCGGGCTGGCCGGGGGGGGCTTGGCGCCGGCTCGTTGGGTGCGCGCGTAACTGCACCGCGACGCTCCGCAGAACCCTAATACTGATTACTGAGCTGTTGTTAATACCTTAGTGCTAATTAATAAATACGCTGTTATTCAAAAGCTGCCTCTAGCTGAAGGGCAAGCCCCCCCCCCCCCCCCCCCCCCCCCCTTCATTTTGTGCCTTTGCAATGAGTTCACACCCCAGCCCGGCCCTGCCCCGCGCCCCACAACCCTCACTGATGCCTCAAGGTGTCGGCACGGCAGCAGCCCGGCGGGGTGGGAAGAGGTACGGGGTCACTTCTTGGAATTGTCTCCCTGTTAGGTATGGCAAGCCCGTAAACGTCCTCCTTTTGTGAAAGAAAACGAAACAAAAACAAGCCAGGAAGTGCAGCTGAAGCCAAGGCTGGCCCCTCGGCGGCCAGCACAGGAATGCGTCGGAAAGCAAGAGCACGTCCAAGTGCCGCCTGTTCACAACCAGCTGGGATGCAGGCCAGGCCCACCGGAGACCCGTCACTAAACTTTTTCATATAACCAAACCAAACTAAACACCCCAAAAACAACACGTATTTTACATTTTGGTTAAAAATACTGAATAACGTATTGGTGTACAAAGATACCCAATCAAATCAAGTCCTATTGCTTCGATTAATTTGAGCAGGTACTTCAGTTTTAGGCACTTGTTAGCTACGGTTGAGCGGAGAGCCCATCGCTGACGTCCCTACGCGTTTTCTAGCTCTCTGAGCCCTTCCGAAGGTGAATTTCGCCCTTCCCGGGGCTGTAAATGTGCTCCAGCTCACATGGTTATCTCGGCACCGTTGGCAGAGCGCAAGTTCTGGTCGTCAAAGCGCCGCCGGACGCTTCTCCTCACCGCGTCGGCCCGTCGGTACGGCTGGTTTCGAAGATCTGCGGAGAGGGAAGGGGCGTCGGTAAAGCGCGCCCGGCGCGCCCCGCGGGCACACGCACCCCCGCACCCACCCGCGCGCACGCAGGCGAGACAAGGAGAGAAGTCCTGCTGGAAGCCAATCAAAGCAGCTTGTGTAGGAAGAGGAGAAGGGCCTTTCCCTCCCCCACCCCCCCCCCCCCCCGCCCCCCCCCCCCCCCGAGAGCGGGAGGGAGCAGGTACCGACGTGCCCTTTCACTACTCGCACCCAAGCAGCAGGTAATACTGGTGAAACGCGCTGAAATGCCGGTGGAACTAAACGGGGGGGGGGGGGGGGGGGGGGTGGTGGGGGTGGTGCTGTTGGGTTCGGGCGCTACCGTCGACGACAAAGCGCCGACAGTTTGCCCGGGTCCCCCCCCCCACGCTCACGGGGTGAGCCGGGGTGCGGTGGGGCGAGCGTTCAGCCGCGCTCCCTGCACGGAGCCCTCGTTTCTAAAAGAAGGGGGCTGGGGGGGGGGCCCTGGGGAAAAGCAGCCGCTCCGCCGCGGTCGGCTCGCGAAGCTCCGGCTGCCGCCCTCTCGCCCGGCCGCAGGGATGCTTTCGTTAGCCGAAGGCAGAGGGGCTGCCATCCTCCCTCCCTCCCTCCCTCCCTCCTCCTCCTCCTCGCCCCGCTGCTGGGGAGGGAAGAGGGGGGAACACCGGGCGAGCAGAACGGTGGAGGAAGCCGGAGGTGGACGTGCCGCCTTACGGCGACCGCGCTTGGCAGCCCTGAAGGCTGATCCCGCCGCCAAGATTCCTCCCCCGGAAATAAAAAAAAACGGGCGTTTTGGAACGGGGAGAACCCCCCGCCTCAAATCTCCCGGCTGACTCCTGCCTTGGTCTAAAATCAGACTTTCCCCCCCCATTTCCCAGCCTCCAGGCCGCCCTCTCCCACCCCGGCACGCGGGGCGGCCGGTTGTCCTTCGCTCCTGCCCCGATGCCACCGCAGGACCGGGACGGGGGGGGTGGCAGAATCCCCAGGGAGCTACGGGGCTGAAACAACCCGGGGGGCGGGGGGGGGGCAAGACTGTCCCGGGCTCAACTTGGAAAAGAAAGGGCCGAAATGGAGAGAGTGTGAGGAGGGGCACCAGGCAACGGATCCCCTCCACCACAGAGGGTGAAAATAAAACGGTCTCGGTCTCCACTGGCCTTTAGGCTCTCACCAGTATTACGCTTAGCCACATCTACCAACAGGCCGTCTGGCATACAGAGAGAGGAGGAAGCTAAGTAAAAAGTGATGCTTGCCAGCTCTGTGTATCCTCCACCACCGGTGTGCTAGAAGAAATCCTTACCCTCGAGTGAACATTTGGAAATTTAGTGATATTATTCTTCTTTAGGGCTAAACAGAAAAACAAAACAAAACAAAACAAAACAAAACAAAACAAAAAAACAAAACAAAACACAAAATGATGGTTAAGTAAAAAAATGGGATGGAAAATGAAGAGCAAGTCAACTCAGCGTTCGAAACTCCCAGGCACGTTAGCCAACAGAGCAAGAGGGGGTAAGGCCAAGGCTACGGGAGGAGGGAGGTTAGACACGGAGAGGAAAGGACAGGAGGGCCACCCTCACCTCTCGCTAAACCAAATTCCAAGCTGCTTTGAAGATTGGCTCCAGGAAGGTAATACAGCAATTAACTCGAAAGAGCAAATAACCGTTGAGCTGATTACAGTTCGCAATTTTATTAGAAGCATTCATCGAAATACACATCGCCAAAGTGAAACACTGTTGTCTTCTTAAGCCGCCGAGTCCTTAAGTCAAGACAACAGTGTTAACAGACATGCTGGGTTACACACGCCCTCCTTACACTTGACGCCACACGATGGAAATCGCTCAGTTCCATGACAAGGGTCACAGAGTCCCTGCGGTGCCGGCTCTGCCCCCTCCCTCTCCCCGCCGCCCCGCGCCCGCTGCCCAGCCCAACCCCAGCGCCGCACAGAGTCCGAGGGGACCAGAAACCCGTCGGTGCTCGGTCAGCAGCTCGGATTTTATTTCGACCCAGTTGGCATGGAACTGAAAAAAAAAAAATGTTAAAACGTGGACGTGACCGAACGAGAAAAGCTTTTACGCTGCTCGTTCTGTCCCGTATCTCGCATGCAAACATGCAGGTGCTGGTTAAGAAGGCCAAAACCCAACGCTCCTCGCGGAGGACGGACGTGCTTACAGACAGCCCTTCCCAGCCAGAAAGCAAACCCCGAGGAAGTCCCACTTAGTTCATGCAGCCCGGAATTTTGCTTGGGCACACAGCCGGTGGCGTGCATGCATTTCAGAGGGGCAGACCGGCCGACAGAGAAGGGTCTGTAGGCCGGGAGAGCTGACATAGAAAAGCCAAGTGAACCGTCACTTCACGACCGCATTGTGGGTCTCCTGAGTCTTGGGGGCGGCAGGAAACCTGCACCACATCTCCCGTGACCTCCACCACTTGCTGTTCTATGGCATTTGTCAGGAGGGTGAGAGATGCCTTTGAGAGCCAAGGGTGGCCAAAAGCATCGAGTGCAAAGTCGATGGAATGGAATAAAACGTTACTGAAACACAAGGACATGCAACAGAGGCGACATAAATACAACTCCAGGTGGACGCCGGACACGACTACACACTCAACATTCACATGATCCTGGCTGAGATCCGCACAAACGGAGAAGTGTCAAAAATCTACAGCAACCTTTCTTTTTTCTAAGAGCATCAGGTGTGAAAGAGGAATAGTTTAGTAATGGAATTCCTCAGTGAGAACAGGTTCGCAGAAGAACCGAGAGCCCCGCTTGGCGGTTCGGGCGGTAAAGGGCACAGTCTTCAGCACTGCATGGGAATAACAGCCAGAGAGACAGAGAGAGCCGTGAGCAGCGGGCCGATCGCGTTAGCACGGGGTCAGCGCTCGCTTGCGGACCCCCAGGGACTTGTTCCACAAGTTCCACCCCAGCTGTCTGACAGCCTTTGCATGAGGAGTTCTGACATGGCATCCGTTTTGGGTGGTTTTTTTTTTTTTTTTTTTTTTTTGGGGGGTGGTGGGGGGAGGGATTGTTTGAGAGGCTATCGCTCAACCTGCTGCAGAAAAAGGGTGCGCCCTGAGGCAGAGCTCTCCTGCCCCTCCCGTGAGGCACACACCCCCCCCCCCCTCAATTTAAAACCACACCTCCCATCACTTCCCCACCGCTGACGGAGATCCCACGGGCCCTGCTCGAGCGACCTCGGTCCTATCTGCCTTTCCGTGCCCAGCCTCTATCATCACATAGCCTGAGGCCCTCGGAGACACCCCCGCAGGGGGAAATCCTCCGCACGAGACCGTCGGAAAGGTTTCATTTGAGTCTGGACTGCCTTTTGCCTGTGGACGCTCTTCTGCCCCGCAATCTGTTTCTCCCACAGAGCAGGAGAACCACTTTCCCGATTCAACAAGCGGCCAGGAGTCTTGAACGAGTTGCAGAAGCAGTAACAGATTAGATATAACAGCGACTCCGGCCTTCAAGTAACAAATATTATCTTAGGAGGCTATTAATCGAGGTTAAAAAGTGGTGTGGAAGCTTCAAGCATTTCAGCCCTGCCGTCTAGTTGGGCAAAAATTCCCTGGCTTTCCTTAGTGAGTGGTCAAACAGCTCTCCTGCCCTCCTGCGCGAAAAACTCACGTGAAAAACACTCAGGAGCAGCAGCCAAGGAAATCCCGCCCAAAAAGCTTTTTTTTTGAGCTTCTGGGCAAGAGAAACAAACGACTGTAAAGCTACCGAAGGGTTAAAATCGTGGTCCTTCCACACCGCAGGCGAAGAACGTGCAGTGAAATCCAAGGACTGCGGTCAGAGCAGCTGCACAGATTAAAAATTATTTTGACTCCTGAGCAAAACGCAGTTCAGAGGGCGGCTCTTTTGATCCGCAAATATTTGCGCCCAATTCCTGACTGTGTGTGGCTACAACAGCGGGTTCTGCACCTCTGCCCCCGGTGGGACCGGCGCAGAGTTCACTTACTGATCTGAGAAGCAGCAAGACCAGCAGCGGTTTCGGGTCATAAATCATTCAGGTTTGACTAAATGATTTGCTGTAACCGTGCGGGAACGTGGGGCAGTTACTGTTAGTACGTTTTATAAGGAAAATGTAGGCTCTTAATAATGTTAAACAACCGTCATTCGTCCCATTGCACGGGGGGGGGGGAAAAAGGTTTCTGGGAAAAGATCTGCACGGCATGCACATCCCCACCCCGAGCATCTGCTGAAGGCCAGGCACTGAAGTGGCTGCTCTAAAGGTGAGGGAAGGAGCAGGTCCCCACATGCTGCGGGGGAAGAGCTGAGAATGGGAGCGTGTGCCGGCGGTCCGCGCCCGCAGGGCTGCCAGCCGGCGCGCAAGGGCAGGTGACCGGGGTTCAGGTGTTACAGCCCCTTAGCAAAAAATTCTGTACTCGAATTCACATCGTATCGCAACAACGTCCTAAGCTGCGCTCGGGTGACGCGGTTTTAAGAAGTACATGAAGGACTTCAAATAGCTGCTAGGCAGACATCCTTAGCCACTGTGAACGGGCCTCGGAGATTGCAGAACAAAAGGTGTTGTTACCTGTTATAATGTCTTCAATAGCACCGTCCTTCCCTTCGTACACATGCCTGTTATCCTTGACTTGCCGCCGCCTGAGCTCTGCGATCAGCTCTTGCTGCTGCCTCTTTGTTTTATGCGAAGGAGACTGAAAGCAAAGGAGAGGGGATTTGTAACTCCTGACCCGCCAGCTACCCCGGTTTCTCTCCTCCTGGGCGCGGCAGGCCGGGCGATCCCACCGGCAGCAGTCAGCGAAGAGGAGCTGCCAGCTTTCCGCCCGATTTTGCAGGGCCGGGAGAAGACCCGCGCGCGCTCAGCGCACGTCCCGGGCAGGGCCGCAGGGCAGCCCCGGCTGCCAAGCTGCTTTGCTTCCCGGAATCGCCCCCAAGCCCCCTCATCACTTGGAAGAGGAGCTCCCCGCTCCTACCTCTGAAAAGCATCGGGGGAACAAGGAGAACAGACTTTCCTTCCGAGGGAAGAAGCGTGGCTGGGATTACAGATCCCAACAGCGGCTGCTGGGAGCAGCACCAGCCGATCAAGCGGCTGGTTTGGAGCCAGGGGGAAACCTCCTCCAGCAAGTCTGAAGTGTTACCGCAGGAAAAAAAAAAAATAAAAAAAAAAATCAAACCACGTCAGGAAAATACCTGTAAAATGGTACGGTGGGGCTCAGCCCTGCTGCCACAGTTGGCGGGGCAGGGTCTGGGGAGGCTCGTCCCTTGTCCCGGGTTCGAGCAGCTGCCAGGCCGGCAAAAACCGACGCTCGAGCTAACGGCAACGCCGACGAGATGATTCCCTGTCTGTTCCCCTGCTTCTTAATCTTCCAGACTTCCAACGCAGCAGATCCGTACCCCAGAACCCTGTCAGCTCTACTTCAGTCCCCTCCACATAAGGAGGAAACTTCCGGCGCCTCTATTTCTAGGCAGTTGCAAGTTGGGCAACTGAAGTTCTTACACGGAGCTGAGGTTTCTGAACTATCAGGAAAAACACGCGAACAAGAGGGCTCCTGCCTGTAGGACGCATCTATTTCATACCTTTTGGTCCTGTTGCTCCATCAATGCTTCTTGCTCCATAAGTTTTTCCATTAAGGCTTGTTCCTGCTTTTTTCTCAACTCGTTCTCCTCTTCTGCTTGCTGTTTATCACAAAAAAAAAAAAACCAAAAAAAAACAAGCCCACAGGTTATAGTTTCCAATTGTTACAGGGAACCTAAATATGACAAATGAGTAACGCTATCGCTTGCCACCGCGGGGCTTTCCAAGGAAGCGGGGTGAGGTGTAGCAATTTAGCTGTCTCTGAACACAGTCTGAAAAAACTGGGCTGGGAGAGGCCTCCACCGCCCTCTCCCAGTCCCGAAAGACACATATTCAGGGTCAAAGGCGTGAGCTGCGGCCACCCAGCGAGGGTTCCTCCAGCGTCTCAGCCAGCCGCGTTGTCTTTCAGCCTTGAACCATAATCCCCAACTGAGTGCTTGTGCTGCCCCGGGCCGAGGGGACATTGCATCGAAGCCAGAGGGAGCCCCGAGCCACGGAGGTACCAAACCAGGTACCAAACTGCCCTCACAAGGACAGAAGGGGAGAAGAGGACGCTCCCGCTTACCTTGTAAGCCTTCACAAACCGGACAAACACTGGGAAAAAGACCGAGGGGGGGGTCGTCTTGGGATTCTCCCCAAAGTACTTCACAGCATCGTCGAAGGCGTCCTACAAAGAGCACAGATTTACTGCGTCGCGCATATTCCAGGATAAACTCACCGTCCACTCCTGCAGTATTCAGTGTGATTTCCTCCGTGGGCGAAACCCTTGGCTGAGGCTGGCAGGTTTACGCCCAGCGCTTGAACTCGGGAACAAATAAATACACAACACTGCTGCCCCTTCTCCTCCCTTTCCAGCGACAGGCTACTACTCACCCTCTCGCCAAACCACACGAATAAAGGAGTACCTGGGCTATTTTGGCGTCGTCCTGCAGTTTCTTCAGCTTCCCTTCGTTGTTCTGAATGAACTCCTTCAGCATCGTGTTGTGGTCGTGCATGGTGTACTCGCGCTTCGTCAGATCCAGGCCCCTCTGCAGCTCCTTCACATCCAACAGGACGTTTTCAAGGGACACTAGGAAATCAAAACAAAAACGCTGCACCGCTCCTGGACCTGCAGCTTGAACAATTCCCCACCGAGCAGAGCCCTGCCAGCCCGTGCCCGGCCCCAGGGGGGTGAGGGTACCTGCAGCAGCCTTCTCCACATAATGAAGTTCGTTGTAAAAGAGGGATACGTGCTGGTACTTCTCCTTGACCACATTTGAAATATAGTGCAGCAGGGTCTGCTTTCGGTCCGTCGACTTTGTCTCTAGGAGCTGGGGAGAGAAGGAGAGGAGGGCTTGCTGGCTGGGGGTGCAGCAGGCTTCCTTCCCTGCCGTTTCTCCACCCGAGAGGAGCGGCTGTAAAAGCCGATGGAATCGTTCCGCGGGTGGTTTTCAAGGTGGGGGGGTCTGCAGAGCCTGGGAAGACACGTGCCTTCTCCCAAGAGGCCCCCTCCTCCCCCCCCAAAGCGACGGTAAAGCAAAGCCAACTCACACCGACCCTGTACACGACACTCATCCCACACACACCCCCCCCCCGGGCCCCACGAGGCACCTCGGGTTTACTCACCAGGTCTAAACTCTGTAGCTTAAACCCATACACAGCTCCTCGTTTGCTGCTGTTCATGTAGTTTCCAAGAGCCAAGATTATCTGCCAGGACGAAACAGAGCAGAGCGTGAAATCTTCAGGACGAACGCCTGCAAACCTCCGGAGGGAGAGGTGGACACGCCAGCACCCACGCAGAGTGTCGGCGTGTGGAAGGGGACGCGCCGCTGAGCGGTGGAGCCACTGAACGGATCGAAAATGAAACCCACCTCCAGTATTTTCTTCAGCTTTTGGGACGACTTTATTGAGACGGACGCAGCTATTATTGCGTGGAGTTGCTGCAGGTAAACACGGGAAGAGCTTCGGTTAATGCGCGCTCAACCCAAGAGTAAAATTAAAATCTAAACTTTCACGCTCTAAAAAAAAAAAAAAAAACCCCTCGTTTTTCATTCGTATCGTGGGCGCTAGTAGGAGTGTTTTCCTACCCCAGCACATCAGGATTTCAAACGATTCGTTCGCACCGCAGATTTGCCACACTCAGGTGTGGTTGGCTCAAAGTGTATTTACACTGCAATCCTGACGGCCGCGAGAGACGCGCCGGGCTGAACGGGACACGCCTCGGAGAGCCCATGGACCCGCACTCATAGGGACTTTCCCTGATGAGAGCAACAACTAGCTTTCCACTCAAATTTCAAAAAAAATTTTAAACTCCTACAGGGTAAAGAAACGGGACAGTATGGAGCAGTCCCGGCTACAAACAGCACCTGGGACGTCGGAGTCGTCGATAAATGAAAACAGAGCTTGGAAACGTGGAACTGTTTGATCTTCTGTCTCTGCGCGGGCTGATCATCACGCCCGCAACACCCCCACCCCTCTCTCTGCCTTAGGGAAAAATTAAAATCTCTGCGACCCTCACCGACCGGCCCGCGGCTCTCAGGCCGAGGCACGGCCCCCTCCCTCGCTCACCGGGGTCAGCATCTGGATGCTTTCGGCAAAGTTGCCGATGAAGGCCATGATGGTCATTTTCTGCATCAGCCTCTCAATCTTGCTGAACTGCATCATGAAGCGGTCCTCGTCCGACAGGTTCTCGATGGGTTTCCTCTCCCGCTCGTAGAGCCGCAGGACCTTCACCTCGTTCTCGGTGGGGAGGAACCGCATGAGGCACTCGACAAAATCCACCGGCAGCGTTTTCAGGTCAAACCTGCGCCAGGGCAAACCAGGAGAAGCGGCGGCGTTACGACAAAAGGGTGGGAACACCGTCTGCACGGAACGAGGGAAAAGGGGAAGAAGGGACACGCGAGCCCGAGTCGGTGAAGGGATGAAGAAGCCGTGAAGTTCCTCCTGCTCTCGTCAGAGCCCTGGCTGGGGCGGGGGGGGGGGGCTCGGTCCTGCACGTGTGCAGCTCGTGGCGCGTGAAGCTGTGGACAAGGTTCCTGTGCTGCTGGGATCTCGCTGACAGATGAGAACAGAGCTGGGGAGCCGCTCTGTCATTTGTGTAGCTGGTTTTTGCCCTGTCTCCGTGAGAACCGATCAGCACGCCGCAACACTCCAACCCTCTTAGAAAAATGAGTATCTCTGTAACCTTCACTGACCGGCCCACGCCTTCGCACGACCCTGCTTCTCTTTCCAAAGACGTGGTCGTTCCTCGCACCCCTCCACGGCCACCTCTCATTTTTATCAGAGAAGATCCGCAAGGAAGAGCAAATTTGTTTTATTTGATCGGGCCAGAGCCCCAGAAACACCCGGAACCTGCCTCAATCTGCAGCAGGATGGGGTCACCCCCCCCTCACCAGCCCAAAGGTAAGGCTCAAGCATCCGGATTTTGACGCTAAGTCCCGATGGAGCAGTGGCAGACGCTGCCCCGGATTCGGGATGGGGCCCTGCGCCCCGTCCCCGGGAGGCGAGGGGCTGGGGCTGCGTGGGACGGGTGCACCTGCCTCACAGCGGGGTTGGGCACTGCCCGGGGCCACGACACAAACCTCGTTCTGAGCAAAAGCCCTTCCGCTGCGCTCGGCCTACCGTCATGCTTTATGGAGCAAAGCAAAATAGCTGCCTCCTCCCGAGACTCTGGCTTTTGAGTGTTCGCTGTAACAGAAAACACCAGGCAAACGGGATGAGAGAGGCAGCACGCAGTGGCCTGCCGTGGATACGCCCGAGTTAGCTTCTTTAATAAAAGAAGCGCTCGTTTGTTAAGCCTAAGTGGTGATACGGCGACAGAAAACTGCACGTTTTTTGTTTCAGTTCAAGGGAATCCGATTTCTGGGAGTTCAGAATAGTTCCGTCCTTACTCCTGGATTTTTTCCAGGTGCAAAGAAATTTACATCAACCGCCAGTTGAAAACCATTCCACTTACCAAAAATTACAGTAAATCTTAAATATGATTTCTTTGCTGACAAGGGCTTTACTTACACGTGAATAGCTTTGCATATTTCATCTGCCGTCTTCCCAGCTTTTCTTAAAGTAATGGCAAGATTTTTGGCCCTGTTGGCATCCAGTAACGTCACTTTGTTTGACCCTTTCTGAGTTATCTTTTGCTTGCTTGAAGTAAGATCAATGGCTGGACCTTGGGCTTTTGTTTTGAATATTTCTTCAAATTCATCCACATTTAAATCCTAAAAAGGAAAGAAAATGCAAATCAACGCTACCAGCCCTGATTCCCAACCAAGGCACTCACGCTGACCTCCTGGGGACCAATATTTGGAAAATAATTGCTGGGGTTTATCCCTGCAAAGACTGACATTCCCTTGTGCCACGGGCCGAAGCGGGAGGCAGAAGGCAGCGAGCAGCGCTCATACCTCCAGGATCCTCTCGTCGTCTATTTCGTTGAAGACCGTCCCGTTGATCTGGTTGGGTTTGAGGGCAACCCAGTTGAACACCGGCATGCGGAACTTGGTCTTGATCGGCTTCTTGATTTTCACAGCTAAAGGAGACACCAGAGGAGAGGAGAGGCCAAATGACAAATCCCCAAATGCGCCCCGAACGGCAGCTTCCGAGTCGGCATTTCAGCACTGGAGGAAGAAGCGGCCAGAGCTGAGTTGTCCCACGGGAAAGCCTGGCAGGATCCCGCTGCCTCGAGAGGCGACCAGCGCCGAGGGGCTTCCATCCAGCCCCTCCGCTGCCTCAGGCCTCTGCAGAACTGGACTGAAGGCCAGAGGCTGCGAAAACTTCCCGAAAGGAAATGTGTTACCACTTTATTACCGCGTGTTGCCTGGCTTGATTTAAAAGCCCAGCCAGGCTGTTTTTAAACGCTACAGAAAACGGGGAGAGAGGGGTCGAATTTAAGCCCGTCCTGCCGGCTGCAGAGCCCACCCCCGGCGTGGGCGGACGCGCAGCCGGGCACAGCTGATCTGTGACCTGCGTCACAAAACTCGGGGCAGAATAGGTGACAAGACGGAAAAAAAAAAGCCGCTTTCCCCAAGGTTTTGGTACAGGGAGCGGCCCCCGTCCCACTGCCTGCTGCGACGGGGCAGTGCTGCTTCTCCCCGGGTTTGTCTTTTAAAGCCAAAAGGGGTGGGCAGCAGCACGCGGGAGCTTTAACACCGTTGAAATAACAGGTTTAATCTTCCTGCGCGGCGCAGGAGCAGCGAACGATGGAACAGCTTGCACAGGGAAGCTGTGCGAATGAACATTGACTGCTCTCATTAATCTGTGCGCGGGGTATGAAAGAAACAGGTTGGAGCAAGGAAACCAACGCTCCTCTATTCCTGTTCCTAACAGGCCTGGAAGGTACAGGACTAAGTTCTGCAGTTCAGTTCTCCTGTCTTGGTGTAAACAAGAAAGCTGCCGGTTGCTACAAAATCAGGGCGTTCATTAACCAGATCCATCAACGTTTGGCTCCCGAGTTACTCAGAAAACAAACTGTCTCTTCCCAAGCTGCAAACATGAAACAGAAACTCTGGTCCTTCCTCTCCAGTGCTGGCAAAAAAGAGGCATTGAGGCGGGGGGGGGGGGGTGGGAGGGGGGGTGCAGGGGACGCCCCGCAGCAAGCCCAGGCAGGGGCACGGGCCGCGTTCGGCTTCGCTCAGCCTGGGGTTTGCTCCCGACTCCTGCCCGCCCCGCGCTCGGAGCAGGACCATGCTCAATACTCAGTGCTCCGTAGAGATGCTAGGGTTTCTCAGAAGGTGGCCGGGTTCCCAGGTTGCAAAGCACTTGAGCAAATAATTCTTTCACTTTCCCATAAAGAATCTGTGTTTCTGCCAGGACAGAGACGACCTACGTCAGGGGACAGTCCTGTTGTGCACCGGAGCTGGGTGAACGTTGAAAACATTTCCACTTCAAACCCAAGAATCGAGTTGTGTGTCCGCTTCCCGTTCACGCTCGTGCTCATTTTGCAGGGTCGTCACAAAGAGTAAATTACTGGCAAGAGTATTTGCTTGAAACAAAGAACCATAAGCGAGTAACGGGGAGCATACACACTATTCAGCTGTGGATTTTGAGAACTGTATTTATCCAACTGGAAGACAGGAACACACGTGATCAAACTGTGCTCATCTAAACTAAACGGAGTTTTACTCGCTGCTTAATTAATGTGGTTACTTCAAAATAATTCCTAAAATAGAAGAAAGAAATAGCTTTTTACATCCGAAGCACCCATGAAAAAAAACATTTTCCACTCGTGCGTACGTTAGAATAGATTATTAACAGCTCCTGGGTTATTTCAGGACAGGAAAGGGAGCTGACTGCCTCGGGGACCGGTTCCTGATGCAGCTCATCAAAATCTCTTAAAATTCTCCTTCCTCCTCTGTTACAGAGCCCTGGGAAGGGCGAAACCCGCCGCAGCTCGCCGCTCGGCCGGGCTGGGAAAAGCCCATCCTCGGCGTGGAGCGGTGCCGGGAGGGCGGCTCGAGGACGGCTCAAGAGAAACCGCACGTCTTCATTAGCTTGCTGAAGTGCTTTGCTCACTCCAGGGCCTCCCGGGTGCCAAACCCCAATAGTTGGCAGCATCCCCGAAACCACGGCGCGATCCGGCTCCGGCCAGCCAGCCCCTGCCCCAGCCTCCCCATCACCCCCCCGCCCCGTCGCCCACGCCGGTCCAGGGGCACACACACGGGCACAGCACAGGGGGGAACGCGGAGAGGTGGGGAAATACTTAGCAGAAAGCAACCTACAGAAGAGCTTGATTGGCCCGTCTTACCAGGAAGCAGAAAGAACAGAGAAAAAGATGTTAGCAGCGGTCAGAAAAGCAAGATTTTGTTATTTCCCTGACAACCCTAAGACCCAGAAGGGTCCTGCCCTGAGAAACGCTCCTTTCTGTGCAGCCGCCGCATCGAGAAAAGGCATTTTTGCTCTTCTTCCCTCTCCTAACCCCCTGAAGAACAAAATATCCATCCCACCTGGGGTTTTGGGCACCCCCCCCCCCGCCCCCCAGCAGCGAGGAGCTTGCTCCCCGACAACCACCGCCGCTGCCTGCCCGCCAAACCCATGGGGCAGGGGCAGCCCCTAACCCCAGCAGCATCGCTCCTTTTGGGCCTTTGGGTTTTTTTCTGTTGTTGTTGTTGTAATATACCCTGGGACCCTCTAGTTCCACAATGCTTTTCGCTTTCAGAGGAAACTTTAAAGGCTGGAATACTTAAAAAAAAAAAAAAAAAAAAAAAAAAAAGCAAGCTATTCATCAGAGCTCCTCAGGCTCTCTTTCTGGACTCTTGAGATTTCCTGGGGAGGGGGAGCAGTGGGATACCAGTTAGCATTCACCGGCTGCCCGAGATGCTTGGCACATGTCAGAGAGAGTGCACAAACCCATGATTAAAGACGGTCAGTACATTTTTCTTCCTTCCAAAAAAATTACAAAAAGTTTGCTTTTTTTTTTTTTTTTTTTTCCCTTTTGCACAGCTATTTCCTCATGAAGTTCTCAGAAGAAATCAACCACCACGAAGCCCCACGTTCCTTTCAAAACCGTACTTTGCTTGCTTAAAGCCAGAAATGATCACGTTTGGAAGCTATTTTTGGCGGGAGCTGGAGTTTCGCTGGAGAAGGCGTCTCTTCCAGACCAAACCAAAAGCGTTCGGTTCGTAACTGCTCTTCCCTTTTATCATCCCCTCTAAGTATAACGGCGATAAGGGGGGACGGGTGTTCCTTTAGGTGACTAAGCAGCCAGGTCCCACCTCGGTGCCCTGCCCCTGCCTCCGCCCAGGAGATGCCCGGGGGTTTTACCTGCAAGCCCTGAGTTGAAGACCACGGTGGGAGAGGCTGTCCCGGGCAGGGGGGGTGCCGAGGGCGGGGGCGGGGGGGGCAGTGGAGCCGCAGGAGCCGTCTCCAAAGACGGACCCGGGAGAGGAGGAGGCGGCGGCGGCGGCGGCGGAGGCGGCGGCATCGGCACCGACACAGGGCCGTTTTGCACTGAGAAACGAAGGAAAAAGGAGTTATTACAGTCAACACCCATCCAAACGTCACCACGCAGCAAAAGTCACAACATCCACCTTGTCCCCCCCCCCCCCCCACTACACGTCTCCTCTCCACCCCTACGCTGGCACGAGCGTTTTTTGGACCATTTAGCCCTGCACTGAGGTGGGAGGAAGCCACTCTAACGAAAAACTTGCATTTTTTTTTTTTTTTTTTTTTTTCTGTCAACTGCAGGGCTCGGCAACGGAGCAGACCAACATGGGAGCCACCCACGAGCGGGCTCGTTACAGCCAAGGGTGGTTTTGCCCGCGTGAGGCTGCTGTGACCGTCCCTGGCACAACGAAACTGCACCTCCAGCTCCCGGCCAGCCTGTCTCTCGGGGATAAAACGCTTCTCACCTGCCTCAGCTGCCGCTGCTAAGGCGGGTAATGGTGGCGGGGGTGGTGGCAGTGGTACTGAAGTTGCAGCTCCAGCACCCGCTGCGACACACGGGCCAGCCACGGCCTCCGACCCCGCGGGCACCATCCCGGAGGCCAGAGCGACAGGAAGGATAGAGATGTCACCATCACCCTTCTTCTGGATCTTAATGGTTCCCTGCTTCTCCAGTTCGTGGATCTTTTTCTCCAGCGTTGACTGCCGCTGGATGGCTTCTTCTTTTTCTTTCACCATTTTCCTCAAGGTGTGAACCTGGGTATTCGCGTCTTTGTAGATCTCCTGAGAGCGCCGCAGAAACAAGGAATTTACGCTCGTACTCAGCGAAACAGAACGCCAACACCAGGCCCAGAGCAGCCTGACACAGCACGGCCGCTGCGCCAGGCTCTACCTAACTCTGAGCTCTGACACAAAGGTGCATCCTCACCCGTGAGGAAGAATTCATTGTGTGTTTTTCCCAAGGTAGCAGCAAGGCAGCGCACAGTACCGAGTCCTGGGAGAATCCTCACCTGCGGGCACCAACGCCCGGGGGTGCAGAATTTCTCATCACCACTTTCTCATGCTGCCTCCCATTTCTTATGCCAGCCTTAAATAGACAGCGCAGGTACGCGCCCTCGATTTTGACTTCAACAGAGAGGAGCTGATGCCTTGCTGGTTACCGTGCCTACGAGCTGACCCGTAAAGGGAAGCAGGAGCAGAGCTCCTACTCTGGAGGAGACTGTGAAGCACCCAGGGCAGACACTCAGGAGGAACCCTAAAAGCAGCCGCACTTTGGGATGACATTTAGGCTGATGTCAGTTAATGCTTTTGCTGCTGAGACCCTACAGGAAGAAGCAAGGAGTCTGGCTCGTGCACGGAAAGCTGGCTGCGCTTGACAGCGCAGACGCAAGGGCGCTTGCTCCAAGCCTGAAGTTCTCCAGGTCCACCTCCAGCAGCTCTCTGCAGCCAGCCGGGTCTGCAAAGCTCCACGGAGAAACGCTACAGACCTGGGCGACATGCACCCGTCTCGTTTGCTGACTGGCTGGCGCCTTCCAAGAGCTTTACGTCCATCTTTGAGTGCACGCGCAAGTAATTCTGTTTGAAATCTGGCCTCGGTTCAGAATTAGGAAGCTAACAGAAGTCACTCGGCCTGGTGAAAGAGTTGTTACCTCCCGAACACCACGTGCACAGGAGATCGCTCCCCTGAAGCGTGGCACCCAGCCAGAGCTTTCCCATCCCACTTACCCGAATCACATCCAGTTCTTTGTTTCTTTGCATAAGTTGTTTTTCCAGTTCCACAATCTTTGCCATAGCTTCGTTCTCCGTATCTTGGAGTTTTTCAGATAACTACCATTAAAAAGAGAAACAGCTTTTACAAGTGGGTAACGGCAGTTTTCCCAACCAGAACGTCGCGAACGCTTGTTGGAGCAGTGGCACGTGGTAAATTACTGATATTCCACCAAACCCTGAAGTCTTTCTTTGGAACGAGAAAGGCTTCCTGCACGCCATGGGGCCCTGCTGAAGGTTTCTCTGATGAGGAATGTTATCCTTCAGCCGTGACCAGCAGGTAACCTGGCTGGACCGTAGCTATGAACCTGTCCGGGTAAGAAAGCCTACCCTACAATAAAGCACTTAAAATGCAATTATTGTCACACACCCCAAGTCTGATTCGAAACTCCAAAACCCCACAGAAAACCACAGTGGCAATGCTGCAAAACCAAGAGGCGCTGAGATGGTGGAACCTATAAATATCACCTCTCACAATGAGGCTAATTTGAATAGCAACGAACGAAGGACTTGATTATATTTTTTTCCCTCCGTTGTCTTTTGATTGATTTTTTCTTTTTTCGCCAGCCCCACAAACTCGAGATCTGAGCGCCCCACGGTTCTTGCTGGCTTTTTCCACCACCACCAATCACGCCGACTCAGGCGAGGCTGCAGAGGTGGGCTGCTGTGGTTTTGAGATAAAACTTCTGCAACCCTATTATTAGCCCTTCTGTCAACACATGACAGAAAATTATGTCCACACTCGTGGGATGAGACTAGTTTATGTAACGAGAGATCAGCAGCAAGCCCTTCAAGATTTGCCACCAGAGTAAAGCATTAGGTTTCTGGAAAGGTAAAAGGAGTAGATCTAGGAAGCAAACAGCGTCATTGCCAGTGAACCACTTGCCTCTAGCACCACGGAGGGGCAAACGCTGCACTGCAGGTTGTTTCAAGGACGTATTTATTCTAAGTGATGGCAATCTAGGAATGGCAAGAGGATGATGACCCTTTTAGGGTTTTGTTTTTCAAGTATGGGAAAAAACTTTGATTTAAAACAAGCCAAGCCATGTTTTCTGGACTAAAGTGATTTGACTCCAAAGAAGATACGGGACAGAACAGCCGTGAGCAAACACCGAATCACTGAGTATCTGCTGTTCTTCAGTCCCTTCCCTCCTGAGCCCGGTAGCGTGCTTTAAGATGCAGGTGGGATGTTATCTGCTCTATTTACCAGCACTGCACTGCCGAGGAATTTGCAATTTCTATGTAAATTAGCTCTCCCAGCTCATTATATAACTGGGCGCAGAGGCTTCGTGCACCAAGCGACTCCGGATGGAGCCGCAACCAAATTGAAGCTGAAGCCTCTGAAGCTGCCAACCTGCCGTGCCGGGGGCTCGGGGGGGTGACCCTCTGCTCAGCTGGCCCCCAGCACGGGGGGGTCACCCCCTCCCAGCAGCGCAGCTTTTGGGGGATACCCCACCAAAGCATCCCTCGAGGGGCAGGGGCACGGCAGGTCGAGCCCCCCGTCAACGAGGCAACGTGACTCCTCCGTAAGGAGCTGGGGGCTGTGGCAGATGGGGGTGTCAAGAAAACGATAAAATAAGACATTTTCTCACCGGGTCAACAGATGTGAACAAACCTTCGTAGTGAGTGGAGCGCCCGTTGACTAAAACATGCGGGATACGACGTCTGGAATATGGCATGAAAGCACCCAGGAAGTTTATCTGCCCGAGACCTCCTGAATTCCTTCATTTGCCAAATACCTGATTATTCCCCAATATAGAAGCGCAAAGTCCTAAGGCTTTTTCCAAGTGAACCTCACAGCCCCGCTTCCGCCTCCCCAAACGGGCAGCACAAAGCCCACGCGCAGAGCGGGCTCTCAAAACTCCTTCAGAGACCAAGGTGACAAAGCGCGGTACTAACATGGGAAATGTTTTCTTCCAGTTCTTCAACTCTTTCCAGGGCTGCATTCTTGGTTTCAGCATCCTCCAGTAAAGCTCCCACGTCAAAAACGTTATCCAGGTAAGCCTGGATCTGCACCTGCAGTTTGTCGCTCTCCGTGTGTTTCAGTTTCTGCAAAGCCAAGAAGAGAAGGGTGTCGCTCAGCGCCGGCCGCAGACAGCGAACGGCGTGGGGGAGAGTGGGGGGAGCTCAGGCCACTTCCACCACGCACCAAAACACTTTGCATTTTTAATGTTAGCTGGGGCCAGAAGTGACAAACCGTCGATCAAGACCGAACGTTCAAGGTTTTCAAATCAAGCTAAGCGGTGTCTTATCTTCTGTTACCACAGAGGATATTACTGCTTTCCTCCGTGCTTGCTGTTTGACTGGGGGACTCTCCGGATCCACCGCCCTGCCCTGGGATGCTGCGAGCCCTGCTGCTGCCCGTGGTGGCCACCGGCTCAGTGGCCAACAGGCAAAGGCGAGGCCCGTGCTTGGGTTCCAAGCAGCGGCACGGCCCGCAGCAAATCCTCCAAGTGCTCTCGCTGACCTTGCCGTCGGGTTTGCTGTGTTCAAAACTATCTCCAGAGAGAAGAGCAGAGCGTGCTTCCAACGGGCTCTGCCCGTGCCCGGTGGACTGCAGGGTTTGTGCCACCCTGGGACCCCAAAGAGACCTGTGCTCGCTATCGCCCTGCACAAAGGCTTCTCGCAGACAGCAAAAAGCCCCTCTCCTGATTACTGCCGAGCAGAAGTCAGCCGGGACAAATAAACCCCTCGTCAACACGAGCACTGGTTTTATGTGTGCGCTCCCAAGAGTAAGGACAGAGAAAAATACAAAAAGGGGAAATATAAAAGCAGCTTTCTTCTGGGAGACAGCATTTCCCACAGGATGCCAGCAAACGCCTGGCTGTCAGGAGAAAACTCAAAGGAGGGTTTTTTTCACAAAAATCTCTGGCGGCACCTGAGCCGGGGCCGACACGAGGCGGGAGCCCGCGGCTGGAGGTCGGGGACGTGGCGCGGGCGAGGACGGCTGCGGTTCATCCTCCCTTTGTTATAAGGCAGAGCTACAAATTTAGCTCCCAGTCCATAATTGAAGTTAAGTCGCAGCCGATTTTGCTTCTGCAGGGGTGGCTCCAGGCCACAGCCCCCAGCCAGCAGCCAAGGCACTGCATTTTTAGCAGAGAGCGTGGCACAACCCTGCTCTGCCCTCCCAAAAGCTCTCGGGTGAGGGGGGTTAAGGAGGTTTAAGGCCAGGCTGGGCGGCTGCGGGGCTGGGGGGGTGTGGTGGAGCAAATCCACGCTGCGAGGCGGTGGGGACCCGGGTCATACTCACGTCCAGGTACTCGTCCAGGCCCAGCTTCGTGAATTCGTACTGCAGGTGGACTCTGAAGTTCATGTCCTCCACCGAGTGGACAACGATGTTGATGAACTGCATGCAGGCCACCTGCAAGGAGAACCGCTGCACGTGAGAGGAGGTGACGGCGCGGGCTCTCCCGGGGGTCAGACACAGCCAGTGAACACATTCCCGTGCAGTTACGACGAGGGGAAACTGTGATCCACTATTCTGCAGCTTTTTTTTTTTTTTTTTTTTATTTTTTTTTTTCCAAGCCGGTGCTGGATTCGAGCTTACGGGGTGTTTGTCTGCTGTGATAAAGGGAAGCATGGCTTCCAGAAATTAAGTCATGTCTGCAGAGTCTACCTTTACTGCGTGCCGGTGAACACAAACGCTTTCCATGCCAGCTCGCACAGCCAGACATCATACAAGCACACAAACTCTTAAGAAAACAATGCTGTTTCTGAAACGGCCTGTAAAAGTGAGATTAATTTTGCAACTGGAACCCCCCTCGCTTAGGAAACGGGACGTTCACAAAAGGCGCTTTGTTGTTTGCAGCAAGGATATTTCCAAAGCTGTGGTTCGGTAACTGAACCAGGGAGCAGATCACAGGAGTTGGCCTCCAAACACGGCCGAGCACAGCGGAGGAAAGGAAAAGGCTCTCGAGCAAAGCGGGTCATGAGCAGAAGGAGCAGTGGGGGGAAACCTCCTGCAGAGCGGCAGGAATCGGGCTACGCACCCCAAAAGGTTTGTGCTTTCCTTGCCTCTAAGGTACGGCCAAATCCTGCTCTGCACAAGCACCCTCACCCCTCTTTCAGCTCACAGGTGACCCCGTCTGTCACCCTCTGAGCTGCTTTGAGAGAGGGTTTGCCTGGTCCTTGCTGGGTTTTTCGAGGGCGTAACCCTATCCCGCCAGCAACGCTGCAGCAGGGCTAGTACCAAGCTATTCAACGTACCTGGGAAGCACCTCAGTAGTCTGAGGATGAATCTGAGAGAAGGCGAAATCAAAGCAACCCGATTTTACCTGCAGGACAAGCCTCCAGGAGACCCCGCGTCTCTGGGTCACGCGTGGGAAGACGGAACTGAAGGCTGCTCTCTGGGTTACCAGTTTGCTACAGGATCTGGCCGATCCTTTGCGATCTGCTGTAGGGCCCAGAGGCCAAACCCCTGGGCAGGCATCTGCTCCACGGTGGCCTTTGACTCCAGGTCTGGCCGGGATGCCCCGGGCTGCTCCTCCCAGCAGCCGCTGAGCTGCCATGAAAACTTTTCCTGGCCGAGCTGATCGGCACTGCCCGGCTTTGGAGCCGGGACCACAGGGACAAAACAAGCCAAAATGGTTAAATAAAGGTCACTCGAAACCTTCCAGCTGCATCTTCCCATGTAGATCCTGACCAGCTTTAACCACCTTGTTTCCAAAATGACTTGAACCCTAGATAACGTCAAGCTGTGAGACTGGTAACAGGGATAACCCCCAGGAAGAGAGGATGGTCTAAAATACTCATGCAGGAGCTCCTGCATCCCTACCTCTCCGTGTGCAGCCATCTCTTACCCAAACAACCCGACGCACGCAGCTGGAAACCTAACTTCAGGTTTTGAGTCGTTGCAGGACCCTTTCCAGTTCCTGTGGGGAACCCTGGCTGCTCCTAGTGCTGGTACCGGCCTTCGCCAGCTGAACCCTGCTGTCCTGTCCTACCACCCAGAGCCAAATTCCCCTATTTCAAAAGCGCTTTTGTTGTACTTGCTTTGGCTCTCGCAACGTTAGGGCCAGATTCTCATTTCCTTTCTCAGATCCTTACATACACAGCTAAGGAATTTATCGAGTCAGAGAAAACTAATCTAAGAAAGTTGCTTTTCAAATGAAGTCAGTCAATGTCAACAACAGGAACCCTCTCTGAAATACTTCTGCCTTTTTGTTGCTCTTTCCTCCCAGTCGATCCATGCAATTAACCGCAGCCCCTTCCAGCTCCAGCTTCCCAGACAGCTCCCCGTTTAGGGCAGCGCGAAAGCCAGGTCCTGCAGGAATAGCTCTTTGTTTATCTTCAGTCGTTGCAACTCCTCCAACGACTGGAGCTGTAACGTCACGTCCCGGAGCCTGGGCCCCGGCAGCCGTTCCCCCGCGCCCTGCGCTGGCGTGGGCAGGGGCCCGCGGGGCTCCCCGGGGGCCAGACAGGAACGAGAGGGGATCTGCCAAGTCGTTTGTCACCAGCTCCCTCTTCTAGCTTTAGGTTTGTCATACAGTCAAGCCCTTAGTCAGTGGAAGCGGCCCAAAGACGCGGATTTTATCAGTGCTTGGGCAAATCCTGAAAAAAAATGCGTTTATCTTTTCTCAAGCAAATTTCAGCACCTCCTTCAGCCTACGGCTCGGGAGGACCACCGCATCTCCTTACAGGCCATCCAGTTGGATGCTGAATATTCACAGCTCCCTGGGCTTCTACCGACACACGCTCACGCGCATATTCCCTCTTACAACCTCACAACACACCATTCCATACCTCAAATAAAGATGAGGGATGGTTCTTTTAAAAAAGGAGCGGACAAATCCCGCAGCTCACAGCAAGGTGGCTGCCTGCAGGCTGCTGCCACCGCCTCGCCTCCAGGCCGCTCTCTCGCTCCCCAAATACACTTACCCCTCCCTGTGAGCATGGGAAAAATGACTCAGAGTCGGGTGTTGAGGACTGACAAATCTTTCTGTTAAATTATAGACTAAATTGTATGTACAGCTGAGAATACTTAATGTATACTGTGACTCCCAACGTGTCCTTACTGGGACTGCAATAACAAGGAACAAAACCAACTGTAACATGTCAGAGAGTTACTGAGAGCAGCTTGCTAACTTGAGTAAAATTGCAGGGATGGCTGTAAGTGTTTGGTTTTGGGTTTTCTTTTGTTTTTTTTTTTTTTTTTTCTTTTTAAATACAAGAGGCCATACTATCTCCTTCGCTCCACCTCCTTTTTATTCCGCCGTCCCCTCCAGGGTGCGAGCCTGCCCTGGCCATCAGGTGTCTTCAAAGCCTGTGGGAAACACCACACCAGGTGCTTTAACGCCCAATTCCCGGCAGAAAGAGGTCTTTAACACAAAGCTCAGCACTAAACCACTATAAAGTGTCACAGATGCTTAACAGAGGCCTCAGCAGACCTCCTGCTCTGCTCTCACCTCAAAAGAGGATCACAGCAGATCCGAGGCACCACGCGCCAGCGGCGCGAGGGAGACCGCGCTGACCACGCCAGCGTTTGTCTTCAGATTAAAAACAGGACTTAAATTTCTCGCCCTTCTGCCACAAGCACTCGCTTGCCACAGACTTTATAAAAACGGACACAGAAGTATTTCTGATAACCAGCTCGCTCATCCTTACTGTCACAACCTCTGCCTTTCACGTGCCGCCAACGTGGAAGCTGGCGCTGGTGTCTGTGGGTGCCAGCCAGAGTTTCCCCTCTCGCCCTTCTCTCTTGTGCTCCAGGGGAAGTGGACTGGGTGAATAATCATGCATAGACACGTTGAGGAACCAAAAGTGGTGCAAACGACAGCTATATTTATCAGCAGATCAGGACGGAGAGCAGCTGCAGCGAGTCTCTCCCACACTTCCCTGTCTGTGACTCCGAGGGTGCTGGCACACGGACAGAATACGCATCTTGATATCGCAGAAGCTGCTGCTTTGCCGCAGTGAAATAGCACACAGGACCAAAAGGCCACTTTCCTCTTACCTTCACTACGGCACAAGGCATTTCTTGAAGATAACTGAACTGAACGGAGGCTAAAAATGAAACGCAGGTTATGTAGTTTGGAATATAAAAAAAAAAACTGTATGGTGGTAATTTTAGGCCAAGGTTCAGAAGGCAGATAAATCTCTGCCTACCACAGCAGGACCAGACACAGTAAACACAGAAACCAAAGTCTGCTGGTGGGAAAGAGCACTCACCATAAAGTCGATATTGTTGTCTTCATTTCGGAAGTGCTCCATCAGCTTCTCAAAGCGCTGTTTCTCTCCACACACCTAGAAAAGAATCACCACATATCTGTTAAACTACAGCTTGCAAGAGAGTATGAAAAACATTTAAGAAGCAGCTCATCTGCTTGCTCAGAACCTCCCCGTCCGGGTTTCCTCTCTTGTTACAACTATTCTTCTTCGCGACAAATCCAGTGGAGGAATCACAGGTGAACACCGGCAAGTCGAAGGGGTCAGGTACAACTGTAACATAACTCTTTGTATCTCTTTTCCCCTAAAAATTTAATCACACCCACTGATGGTCCAAACGTAAGAACTGAGCTGCACTGCACCAGGCTGTGCCACAGGAAGACTCGGTCCCTTTCACAGTTCAGAACTGGCTTTCCACTGTAATATAATGTAATTAGGAAGAACAACAAATTACGGGGAGGAAAAAAAGAAAATTATCACCAGCTAAATGAGGAGTGAAATACATCAGCGTAACTATCAGCTGGTCACAATTACAGAGCCATAATACAGGGGTGTTGGCAGGAAACACAAGCAACTGGAGGGAGAAATAAGATCTAAGATAAAGCAGGTCTCAGGATATTGTTGAAATCTTATTACTTCCCAGTAGTTTCTCTGGCTCGGTCCTGCTTTTCCCAGCACACAAACGATCTAGAGTAATCCCCACCAAAATCACCAAATACTAAATACGTGCCTGGGTGCGCACATCCCTGCACGAACAGCGTGAAATGCTGTTCCCAGCGTCACCCTCCTCCGATGCTGGCTGCTTGCAGGGGGACAGAAGCTCCCAAAGAAGCTGTTTTGCTCTTAAAAGTCCTGAAAAGCAGAATCCGCTCACCTGGAGGATTGAAACTTCCCTTCTGCTGAGGAACAAGACCCTCGGCGAGCCCAAGAGGCTCCTCCCTTCCTTAACCAGACTTGACCCAAAAGCCCCGGGCGCGCCAGGTGCTACCGCTCAGGAGCGGGGGACAGGGCAGCGGGACCCCCAACCCAGCCTGTCCGGTCAGGGTCCGCCACTGTTTCCCTTAAGAGCCAGCTCGTGGCACAGTAGTTATGTCAAATTAGCCCACAAACGGTAATTAAGGATTGGCACGGGCTACTTCTTTAGAAACCAACCTCTGCGGGGTGGCAGCCGGTTCTCTGTACTTATTTCTAGGTTTGTGTCTCCCTCACGGAGACCGAACCCCCAACTGGCGTTTCTAGATACTCCCCAAACGCAAGTTCTTCACAAAATGCGCGTTATTATTACTACTCCCACATCAGCTTCCTCTTTCTTTTCTCTTATAGCGTGTACCTACGCCAAGATGAAGGCACCCAGCAGACCTCGCTTAAGCCACGCGGCGTTTAGTGGGACCTAAACTGAGCTGCTGGCGGGATGTGCAAAGCACTGCGAGTCGTGGCGTGCTGGGCGACCTCTCGCCACGCTTTCTGCTGCCCGCTCCGACCCAATAAAACATCCTCGTGGTGTATGTGACACACCTGCTGCCACTCCTAAGCAAAACTGCCACAACCGGGTCATGCTTCGGCTATTTGCGGTCAGCACCTGACGTCAACGGGAAATTCTGCCACTGGATCTCTGCGAGAGGATGGGGACACCGGTCATGACGAACTATTTGATAACATTACCGTCAATATTCACGGCCACAATCCCACAAGTTGCAACTAACGGGCTCTGTGCCGGCTCAGTGGCCCCCATGCGCACGGCCTCTGGTAGGCAGGACGCTGACATCGCACGCAAACACTTGCTAAAGTTGTATTGAAATGTTTCCAGCTGAACCTTAAAAGACTCGGCGTAGGATAAACGCACTTAAACAACAAAGCAAGCCCCCTCATGAAACACAGATTACACTTGTTGCTTAAACAAATTATTGTGATCTCAAACCCGAAGGACTCGGCTCTCTCTACAGCCTACGCCATGAAAGTGGTTTTGAAGCATCAAGTGCCTTTACATGGGCTGCTCCACCAGGCCCATAAAACATACGTTAAGGTCTAAGAGTAAAACAGAATCACGACAGACCCGCTCTTGGATGGAGCGAGTCTCTTGGGTATTGCCTGGCCTGCGGTTGTGCAAGGGGTGAAGCGTGCACGACCTGGCAGAAACGGGGTCCCTGGGACACGGGAAGGACGGGTGACTTTGGGAAGCCACTGCCGTTCAGCTTCAGGCTGTAAATCTTCCGTCTAATTTCGGGCTTTTCTTCAGGAGCAATCCTCGTAAAGCCTCCCCACGGCGTCAGGAATCGCCTTGCTGGGAGATCAAAGCCCAAACTCCGCGTACACGCTGCCGATGGTTAGCGCAGCCCTGATGAAAACGGAGGCCGAGCGAGCGCGCCCCCCGCCCCAGCCTCCCAGTGAGCTGGTGTCACCGGTGAAGAGCCTTAGGCTCTGCAAAACCACCCAAAGGGCCGAACTCAAACCCAAAATGGCCAGGAGCACCCCTGGGAAAACAGGGAGATCACGGTGATCCCGTCCGGCTCGCCCGCTCTCCACTTGTAGGACCAGGAATCGTCTCGTCCCGAAGAAGCTGGAGTTTACTGAGCGTGCAGCAACGTGACCTACGCTGGGCACCTACGGCGAAGGTGCTACCAAGGGCCCACCACGAGTGGGGTGCAGCCCACGGGCACACAGCTCCGCTGCGGCGTCCGCCCTTCCCGCGACACGTGCGCTTCCGTGCAGGAGCGAACTGCCCCCCTCAGGAGGAGAAGAGACGAAACGCCGCGAAGAGGCCGGCCCCCGTCAAGAAGAGCCGAAGAGAAAACCAGGATCTGGCCGAGTTTCAGGAGCCTACTGGCACTGGAAGGATCAAAGGCAGCAGCTGCCCGCCGATATAATTTGATTTTGGAGGCGTACGCTGGGCCTGATCCAAGTCCTGCTCAAAGCAAACCCAAGGAACCCTCTCCTTCACTTGCACCACAGGCTGCTGAGATGCTCGCGTCCCTACGTTAATATCCCAAGCCATTTTTTTTTCCTACTGTAGTAAATGGGACGGTACTTCGGCTCAACCAACTTCTTCCAGCATTCTCCATACTCTCCCCTCCCCACAAGACAGTCAAGAGTCAACGTAACGAAAGAAAAAAAGTAGGTTCACCTCAACCTCGAGCCCTAAACAATCACATCTCTCTTGCAGCCAGTTAAGAAAAAAACGGAGCTGCTCTAAACAAAAACACATACTGCAGAAACAAAGATAACTACGGTGCATACGATCGCTCAACAACAAAAGCCAGAAGGACCCATTTCTGAGAAATCTAATGTAAACCATTCCACATGGATGAGAAAAGCTGACATAAACAACTACAAGCCACTTATGGCTGACTAATTAAATTAAGGAGCGACCCAAAGTGATGCAGGCCCGGCAGAGAACTGCCGATCCCGCTGGCTGGGATACAGCAGCTGATAGCAAGAGGAAAAGCAACAACAACCTGCGGCTTTCGGTGGCTGCTCGCAGATATTTCACACTATCATCAGATGAGTCAGTGCTGGGAACATGTGCGTTTCAAGAGACAGCGAGCTGACTTTCATGAAATGATATAATTTATCCGGGAAGATTAAAGAGACTGAAACTGTAGATGAAGCCTACAGCCTGAAGATTGGCCAAAATCCAAGGCGAATGCTGAAATCAAATCCCACCACATAAAACCATATGTTGCCATTTATATTTGAATAAATTTCCAAGGTCTGTCATTTGAAAGTATGGCTGGGGCTAAGAAAGGCTGATCTTTCTTTTATTAGCATTATTCTGTGTAAGAAGCAAGATTAAACGGGTTACCACAGCTATAAAAAACCTCTGTCTCTACTTAGGCTGTGAAAAAAAAAAAAACTTTTTAGGTTGCATTATGCCCACGTCATTCTAGAAGAACAATGTGGCTTTATGGAAAACCACCCACGAAGGGTCCTTTCTCTGGAAAGGCTTTGGGTGCTAACGAGGCGAACCCATCACAGCTCTACTGCAGAGGTACAATACCATCCTGTAAGGAAGCAAAAGGCTCCATTATGAAAAATGCAGCGATGATTATATCCATATCCACCTGGCAATGCTCTCAGGTCAGCCAGTTCTCACTCAGACCACCCAAGAGCAAAGTTCAACCACGACAACCCTCGCGTTGCTCCTGCTTGCTGGATTGGCTGGATTACTGAAAAACGCTCCAGAAAGGCAACGCGGGCAGACAGCAAAAGACAACAGGGGCATTTTGGAAAAACTGAAGAGGTTTTCATGTGCAGCGCCAGGCAGAAAGGGGAAATCCAGGCTGATGGAAGCACATCCATCATCCTCCTACCTCAGCCAGCCAACGACACGAAGCGCCGCCTCGTTTTGTTGGAGAGTGGAGCTCGCAACTAAATCTCACCGCAGGCAGATGTAGCGTGTTCCACGTGGAGGTGGCAGAGAACACAGGCGGCATTTCAGGCGCTGGAGCTGCAGCTCGTTGGCCGAGGCACAGCTGCCAGACCGCCGTCTCCTCCTCCACATCTGGAGGACCGGTGCTCCTAAGCCTGAGACGCAGAGCCCCATCCAGACACCCCGCGTCCGTCTGTCAGCAAGGCGGGGGGGAGGGAGGGTGGCAGCTCTGAGCTCGCAACGTGTGCTCGTGGAAAATGGATTAGGAGGTCACCAACTCCCCAAACAACTAGTAAGACACCAACTTCCCCCGCGCCAGGAAGCAGCTAACGCCTGCTGGTCCCGAACACCTCACAGAAAACGAGGTAATTCTGCGTTTACACTCAAGGTGAATACGGCCTGGCGTGGCAAAGGCAGCTAGCAGTGACCTCAAGGCAGGGAAAACAATCCTCTGAAGGACCAAATTTTCAATACCTAAACCTTAGGAAAGGCTTTGCAATACAGGACATTTTCTATCAGTGCAGACGTTAAAATGACCGTCTAACCATGTGCTGCCCAAAGGTCGTTTGAAGCTGCTCCCTCCTCCTTCAAAATCACCTTCTGAGTTCTGTAAGAGCGAGGAGAGGTTGCACAATTCCACGGAAAATATGTACTGTGTAGATGAACGCAGCCCATAGTGGACGTGGTGTTATAAATAGCCTGATGTATATGC